TCTCGGGCAGTGTCGAATGGACCTCCGTTCGCCTAAGCCAATCGCGCGACGCGGCAGTGAGACTTTCGTTGGGAGTCGAGATTAGCTTTGGTCTGGAGATGTCTCTGCTAGTTTTATAGTAACACCGCAACGTCATTCCATTTCTCCTCGTGCTGAACAAGCGAGAACGACGATTTTTCACATTCAGCGACTATGACTCAGTGCCGGCGCGAGCAATTCAGTGGCAGCCTCCCTTAAACGGCGTGATAGGTTTACAATGCTGATGCGACTTGAATGCCGGCCTTCGAACGCGCAGTCACTGTAGACCACACGTCCCACCATCCAGTCCCACCACAAGTTCCACCATCCAGTCACCACGAGCTCACCGTAGGCACAAGTCACGGCGCTAGCTGACACATTGTCAGCAGCCAGCCGAGCATTCCTGGCCCTGTTAGGTCGGGCCGAATCAACTGCTCAGCTCGCCACGGCTAAAAGCAAGTCCATCTACGTATTTCTATCTCTCACAGGCGAATTCAAGGGGGCCGGTCTAGGCCATGGATGCCACCAAGGGAGTGAAAGCAACATATTTGTCGTATGTTTTGCCATAGGCTGGATCGAAATGTTGTTTTTTTCCAACTGGGACCGGATGCTTGACTTGCCTTGCTAGCCAGTAAGAATAGAATCGCAGCAACTTGAGCTCTAGCATTTCCTGACGGTAAGCATGACTATGGTGTCCCGTAAAAGTTAGTCACCCAGCTGTCGTGATAGAACAAATGCTTACAGGTCGAGCAAATGTGCTGTGAATTAATGGATTTCTTTGGAGGAACGATAACATTGGAATGGACAAAAAAAAACGACGCCATTTGGACGTGAGACGACTTCGCCTGCTTTTCCCCGAGCACCATACATCGCCCGCGCTTCTGCCTGACGGTAGCCGGCCGTACCTTCCCCGTCGTACAGGGGTCAGCCGTATCCACTTCCGGCACGACTCCCAGCAGGCCAGGCCGAGACCGGTGCGCGTGCCGCCGTGGAAAGTCGGTAGAGGGGGAGGGGGAGGGGGAGACTGGTCTGACCGGCTCCGCCTGGCGGGTGGGCGGGACGTGTGACGCCTCTTCTTCCGCAGTGGAGGAGCACAGGAGCGGATGTCTTCCCTTCCCGATGAACTGCAGAAGGCTTCAGAGAATCTCAGCGGGGTCGTTTTAATGTGCGGCTGCATTTTGCCTGTACGAATCAACCGAGAACCCATCCTGATATCAGTACATGAGCAGCCAAGACATGTTTTGCTGTTGGTAGACCTCCTCTGCAAGGTTGTGCTCCCAAGATACGCTGCATAGGTATGTGGCTACCGCCCATACATAGGCACTATAGGGGCAAGCTGCTTGTGTCGAAAACATGCCTCTGAGACCACGCGCCCTCGTTTAACACAACGCTTAGCTCCGTGGCCGGAGCGTACGTGCCTATGTGTGGTGGGCGTGTCTTTCTCGTCAGCACGGCCGGTTTACGAGGTGCGCGGTAGGCGTGCCTTTCTCGTCAGCACGGCCAGTATGCGGGGTGCGCAGTGGGCGTGTCTTTCTCGTCAGCACGGCCGGTTTACGAGGTGCACGGTGGGCGTGCCTTTCTCGTCGGCACGGCCAGTATGCGAGGTGCGCGGTGGACGTGTCTTTCTCGTCAGCACGGCCGGTATACGAAGTGCACAGTGGGCGTGCCTTTCTCGTTAGCACGACCGGTATGCGAGGCGCGCGGTGGGCGTGCCTTTCTCGTCAGCACGGCCGGTTTACGAGGCGCGCGGTGGGCGTGCCTTTCTCGTCAGCGCAACCGGCGACGAGCGCTGCTCGGAGATGGCGTCGGCGCGACAACGCGCGATATGTGTGTCAGCACCTTCCGGTGACTGGAGAAGTGGGATCTTCAGTGCCGCGTGCCGAGCAGGCCGGAGATGCCCCGTCAGCGCCCGGACTGACCCGACCCGGCGCTGATTCAGGGTTCGAGCGAACAGTTGAATGACTGGTTCACAGCCGGACCCGATGGCTGCACCAATCTGATTCCCAGTGAGTCAGATGACATACATGCAACGCTCACCACACAGGGCGGAAGGTGATGCCTTCCCTTGTTATGAACGTCCGAAGATAAATAATAGACAAAAGGAAAGTCGAGAAATCGAAAGGTTTTTACTGGCTACTCCATAACTGCAGTTTAAACGCTTACAAGCGAAACTTTCGACCACTGTCATTAAGCGAATAAATGTGCTGGGAAGGAGGAGAAGTAAGCTCACAACACGCCATCGCTGCGCGTGGGGCGTTAGGTCATCAGAGGCGCGACTGGCACCCGGCCGTAAAGTCCTTCGACTCGACATTGTCCGCTTCTGTTCACGCGATTAGCACCCGGCCGTGAAGTCCTTCGACTCGACGTCGTCTGCTTCTGTTCACATGCGTTGTGTTGACATGGCGCGAGGATCATTTGGGCCTGAAGATGCGCAATTCATCTCAGAATTGCATTTAATCCCTCGCTCATCATCAAGCAGGCGATTTACGTTGCGTCATCTCAAAAAAAAACTTTCGTATTGACATTGCTGGACTTCCAAGAGAGAAAATATGAAACGACATCATTTTGGGAAGACGGTTTTTCGATGCACAAAAAAAAGACGTCATGCTCTGCGCATAAGGCAGTGAGTCATCGCCGAGTGCTCGTGATCACACTCGAACCTCAGTGCCCGCCCAGGCGCCCGTGACCTTTCGGGCTCCCCAGCCAGACGAGGGGTGCCTCAGTGGGCCCGGAGAGTGAAAGGCCGGCCTTCCCCGCCCGGTTGCCAGGTCTCGCAATCGGCCAGAGTCTTTGGCGGCCGATAAACATCCTGATCACACCGCCCCTCTTCCCGACTGCGGTCCGCAATGGCGGTCGTCATCGGGCATTGCTGATTGTGTCGAGCAGATACGGTCCCTTCACCGGCTGCTGTGCCCCGCTGTTGTCGAGGCAGACACGGTCCCTTCACCGGCTGCTGCTGCCCCGCTGTTGTCGAGCAGCACGGTCCCGTCACCGGCTGCTGTGCCCCGCTGTTGGCGAGCAGACACTGGTCCCTTCACCCGGCTGCTGTGCCCCGCTGTTGTTGAGCAGATACGGTCCATTCACCGGCCGCTTGCCCCGCTGTTGTCGAGCAGACACGCGCTCCCTTCACCGGCTGCTGTGCCCCCGCTGTTGTTGAGCAGATACGGGTCCCTTCACCGGCTGCTGTGCCCCGCTGTTGTCGAGCAGACACGGTCCCTTCACCGGCTGCTGTGCCCCGCTGTTGTCGAGCAGACACGGTCCCTTCACCGGCTGCTGTGCCCCGCTGTTGTCGAGCAGACACGGTCCCTTCACCGGCTGCTGTGCCCCGCTGTTGTTGAGCAGATACGGTCCCTACCCGGCCGCTGTGCCCCGCTGTTCACAAAGGCTGCAATATCCAACTGGCATTGCTGCCTGGAAAATGCGTGATGCCTTATAAGAGTCTCGTGCTTTATCGCCAGCATGCGTGATTCACCTTCGGTACGCAGAGATGTGAGGGGTGCTGTGGATAGCTTTCTCCGCAGCGGCAGCGGCCGATACAATCTGGGAGTGCCTCCATCTGCCACATTAGGCCCGGACGTCGCTCCTGCTGCTGTCATCTCGGAAAGACGTTTGTGCTCATTCCCTCCCACTGAAGGTGTTTGGGACTCCATGCTCACTTTAGGCGGTGTCGTGTCTCGCTGCGTGCTCGACGATGAGTATAGGAGCGGTATGCCCTGTACACCTCCCCCCCATTAGCGAGTGTCTTATTGAATTTCGCTTGCGTTAGTCACGGCTGATGTGGTGCGCATCGTTGCGTGACAAATCAGAAACGACAGATTACCTGGTGGCGGGCCGGTATGTGACGGTGTGTGATACGTTGCGGACTCTAGAAGCGCCAGTTAATCGTGGACCAACGAAAGAGAGAGCCCGAGTACATGATGAAGCAGCTTGCCGTGTTCTGAAGGAGTGCGTACGCGTGGGAGACAAACAACGTCCAGGCTCAGGCTCAGGAGACAAACAACGTCCAGGCTCAGGCTCAGGAGACAAACAACGTCCAGGCCCAGGCTCAGGAGACAAACAACGTCCAGGCTCAGGCTCAGGAGACAAACAACGTCCAGGCTCAGGCTCAGGAGACAAACAACGTCCAGGCTCAGGCTCAGGAGACAAACAACGTCCAGGCTCAGGCTCAGGAGACAAACAACGTCCAGGCTCAGGCTCAGGAGACAAACAACGTCCAGGCTCAGGCTCAGGAGACAAACAACGTCCAGGCTCCGGCTCAGGAGACAAACAACGTCCAGGCCCAGGCGAATCGGCAAACGAACAGAATGTCGCGGTGAAGGCAATTAGCTATACCCAATTACCACACCCGCCTCCCAGTCAAAATAAAATCACCGAGCAGTAGCCCAAGTGAGTGACAAAGCCAGGCTAGGGACCCACAAGCTAGACAGCCACCATAATGAAGAAGCGATCAGGCCCGACGCACTTAAGAGCCTTCCAAGACAAACAGCGGCGTCCCCGCCGTCCCGGCGGCCACTGGCGCCGGCCTAGGCGGGGACCAGGCGGCCGGCCTAGCCAGGGCCGGCAGGCTCTCGAGCAGCGGCCCGCGGCCTCGCCGTCCGGCCCCGTGGTCGGCTGACCGTCTCCTCTAACGGGGACCGCGCCCGGCAGCCGCTCCGGCGCCGCCGGCCGCGCCGCTGCATGCACGCTGCAGCCGACGACCCAGCTGACCCACATGGCTGAGGATTTCCGCATATTGGCTCAATGAGATGCCGGCGCGACGCCAGCGCCTCTACCGGCCGGAATGCGAGGCGGGCGCCGGGGGCGACCAGTGGAGATGGGTCGGCTCGTCTCGGTCGTGGAGGGTGTAGGTACCAAAAGGGAATGGTGGAGGGACTACCGAGTTTCTGCTGTTTTGAGCGTATGGGTCTTGGGATTGGCTCTGTCGTGAACACAGTCGCTCGCCGTTTCTCCCTAGCCGGTCGGTGGCTGAGTTTGTGTTGCTAGGCGACGCCGCCGTGTCCTCCGTGACCCGGTCACGTGACTCTGCCGCCGGGTCACGTGACTACGTCGCCTGGGCGTCCTCGTTTGGCAAATTTTGAGTAATCCGAGGAATGGGCACACTCTCCGCTGGGAACGACACCGAGGAAACTGAACAGTCCTGTCTCGCCTCGCCGAGACAAGACGAGACGAAGCGAGACGGAACGAGGCGGATGGGACGAGACGGGCGGGACGACACGGGACGAGACGGGCGGGACGAGACGGCGTCTCCGAGAAGGAGAGTGAGCCTCGCTGCTTCCGACACGCCGCCGGTGGCGCGCCGCCGCCTCGGGGGCTGACTCGGCGCCGCCTGCGCCACTTGCTGGCGCCGGTGCGTCGCTCTCGCCTTGCTTCGCAGCGGGCGGGCGCCGCGTCTTCTCGAGTCGGCGCGTGCGGGCGCGGCCCAGCCGGACCGCTGCTGCAAAAAGGTGGCAAACAGGGCGCGGCGGCGGGAAGCGCCGCCCAAAAAACGCCCCCGTAATCCCAGCTATCTATGCGAGATCGCGTCACTGTATTCAGGCCGTCTAGACGCCCGCGCACGGTGGTTTTTGCGGCCGATGGAGGGTCGCGAGCAAGCAGAAGGGGGTGGTCAGGTGGGGAAGGGGAGCCAGATGGTACAGACTGGTAATTTGGGTGCAGCCAGTTGTTAAATCTGTACTGGACGGGCGGGCTGTATTCAATTATGGGAACGTTGGCAGACTCCTCGGTCAGGACACCGTCAGGTCATGCAAAAACAACCATTACTGGCGGTTTTCAGCGCACAGCGCCGTCAGTTCGGCCCGCTGGTTATGTTCGGCTAATGACAGAGCCGGCCGTGGTGTTTGCGATTTTCCACGCCCTGAATTCGCCGACCACCCTCCGAGACCAAACACAGCGCACTTGTCAGTCACGCTGCTGTGCCAATTTTGAAGCGCCGCATGGCCCCCGCCAAATACCACCTCGTCACCAGGGACACACATAGCGCTGTCACGCCACCAGCAGCACACAGCGGCTGGGATGTTACCGACTGCGCGCACAGGAGGCTCCTGCATCGCTAGCAATGCACGCAGGGACATGACTTGTCTGAAATAGCGAGAGGTAGCCCAGTGTTCTGGTCAGTTATGCCCATGCATTGTCATTGGGTCAGAGTTCAACTCTCACCAAAAGAATTGGCGATTCCTCTGCCGTTTCCCTGCCCCCCTCCCCCCCACGCCAACTACCGCTGTGACCAGACAGGAGGATGCCACGTCATCAGGGGCGCACAGCAGATCGTAGCACCACCATCTGCCCGTCGCCGTCCAGCCGGTGCTTACGAGGCAAGGACAATCGCGTTAGTGGGCTCTCGAGGGGGCCGGGAGCGGCCGAGTGTGGGCAGATCAGCCCAATCCAGCCGTCCCACCGGAAGATGCTGCCCGATAGCCAGACGGCTCACGCATGTCGGCATCCGCACCCGGCGTCTAGCCTCGCTGACTGACGAGACCGCCTCAAGACGGGGACACTGACGCAGCTGGGGCGAAAGATACCCGCCAATACGGGGATGCAGCTAGGACGAGGGATACCCGCCAATACGGGGATGCAGCTAGGACGAGGGATATCCGCCAATACAGGGATGCAAATGGGACGAGAGATACCTGCCAATACAGGGATGCAGGTGAGACGAGGGTTATCCGCCAATGCAGGGATGCATCTGGGACGAGGGATACCCGCCAATACGGGGATGCAACTGGAACGAGGGATACCCGCCAATACGGGGATGCAACTAAGACGAGGTGGGCGCAAACTGGCCCCGATGCCAACGCGCCCTTAAACACCAAATCACCACCACCACAACTGGGACGGGGGATACCCGCGAATCAGCCGGCGTATTTCTATGCAGTGAGGCTGCTGCCAATGAATTAATTGGTTTCTGGGGATCCTTTTTGGCTCGTAATGCGGTTTATGCTAAGTTTCCGTCCTTTTGCGTTGCGTAAGTTTTTGTTCTTTTCACTTGACAAAAGTAAAAACACTTTTAGCTCCCTTTTTGCATCGTGAGTTAAGCGTGTTTACCTTGAGGTTTCACTTGATGTAGATGAGAAAGCCTCCAGCTTCCAGCTTATCGGCATTTTGAGTTCAGAGCTGTTGTACTGAGGTTTCGCCTTCCAATGTAATAGGTGACACTGGTTTAAAGACGTTATAGAGTAAACATTGGCTATATTGACCTCCTGCGTAGTCGCGGGTAGGGACATAGATGGGGTTAGGAGTGGGGTGGGTGGAATACCCACACTTCTGGTAAGAGTAATTCGCTCACCCAATGCCAATGTATCCCATATAAAAAATGTTTGCTCTACAACGTCCCTTAACTTGCACTTCCTGGTATGTCGGAGGTCGATAACTTGGTGTAAGGTCTCTGAATTCTCGTGGGATGTATGCTTCTTACCTGCCCTGCACCAATCAACTGAATAGTCTATGGCTCTTTCTCGGCTCCCCAAATCTTGGTAAGCCTTATGTGCATGATCTTTTGCAATGTCTCTTTGGATCGAATCACATTCTGGTCACGGGTATTCGAACAGTATCAACATAGACCGAAAACACATAATTTGACCATCCGCTTGTCGTGCTCACTCACTTCTCGTCTGTGCCTTATATAGCACCAAACAACCGCAGACATTCAGTGGGCCAGCACACGATAACCCCGCCTTGCTGCCGTTACGAAAGCGGCCGAGTCTGAAATGAGGCAGCTCGCCCTGCTCAGTCTGTGAAGTCGTCTGCTGCACCTCCGCCCGCCTCTGCTGGCTGGCCGCCGCTCCGGTGACGTCACAGCAGGCCAGAGGCGGCGCAGGCGGCGGATGGTACGGCGGCCACGTAACCGGCCGGCGGAGCCTGGCACGGGGTCACGTGGGCGGACGGCGCAGGGCCTCTTGTCGCTCGCGGCTGGCAGCGACGAAGAACGTGCGCAGGGTCGTCTGGCGATGGCAGAAGGGGCCAGTCCCGCTATGGATGCAGGGGCTTTCTTGGTAAAATTAACAGAAATGCCATACATTTTCTGTCGGCTTTAAAACGCAACCAAATGCATGATATGCAAATTGCGTCCCTTCTGTCACGAACGCAGGCACTCATGCAAATAGATCCCTTTTCAAGTATTGATAGACGTGTCTAGTTGGTTGTTTGCAGAAAGCCCCGCTGGCAAGCTTTTTCAACATCAATGTTCACTTAGAATCCCCTAAGGAAGGATTAGGTAGCCCTGTCTCCCGAGTGGCGTTATTGGCCGAGGCTATAACGTCACTGTAATGCAGGCCGGCTGGCCGCCGGTGCAGCCTGGTTACGCCACTGTAGTCCAGGCGGGCCGGCCGCCGGCACAGCCTGGATACGCTAGTTCACCTCGCGTGACGGCCAGTACGATAGCGGCGTTCGGCCGGCCCCGGTCCCGTTTTTCGCCTCTCGGGGCAGTAGTGTGCGGCGCCGGGGCCGTGTTGACCAGAAGCCGGCGCCGGTGCCCGGCCCTGTCTTGTCCTACCCGGTCATGCCCGGTCCTGCCTGACCCTGCCCGGTCCTGCCTGGTCCTGCCTGACCCTGCCCGGCCCTGCCCGGCCCTGTCCAATCTTGCCCAGGCTTGCCCGAATTTTTTTGTTTTTATGCATGTCATGGGATAAATATGTAAGCAAACTCCATGATTGTCTATTCGAGCTCACGACATAATGCATCGTGCACGCTGAGGTCCGTGACGGCTGTCTTCCAACACCGTCTGTTTCTTGTCAAGCCCGAATCTGGCGCCGGTCGGTGCCGCCTCCTTGACAGGCCGTACCAACAGCAGAGCTGCATGAAGTCACACGTGCAGGGGAGTGGCGCCATTACACGTAGGCATCGGTGCCGTCAGAACGTGCCGGTGGCTCGGCGTCGGGGGGATATACACGGACCGAGAGACACTGATTTTACCCTGCTGGTGTTGGGTAACAGCGGGTCGGTTGTGGCGGCGCGCTGACGTTACGCTGCTGGTGTTGGGTAACAGCGGGTCGGTTGTGGCGGCGCTGACCTTACGCTGCTGGTGTTGGGTGACAGCGTCTCGGCTGTGGCGGTGCTGACCTTACGCTGCTGGTGTTGGGTGACAGCGTCTCGGCTGTGGCGGTGCTGACCTTACGCTGCTGGTGTCGAGTAACGGCGGCTCGGTTGTGGCCCGTTCGAATTCCGTCACGCAAGCTTTTTCCCTACTGTAAGAATGAAACCAGTTTTTTTGCCATCGATTGGGTTACTTTCCAATGGTGTGTGAGTACGCGGTTGTGTACGCATGTGATGGCTACCACAGACTTGCGCGTAGTTTCTCCTTCTCTCCAAATATTTCCTTTTGACACGCAATGTCCAATGCAGCCCGAATAAATAACTAGTGAAAGTGAACGATGATGGTGATATTCATGGCATGTTTACGCACGCTTATGCTATTCGTGGAGCAGATAGCCGTCCTATTTTCCTGCCTCTTCTGTTGAAAACAGTTCAGGAGGTGCTTATGCTTTAGACCGCGAAAACGCAGACTCGAGGCTATTTACATCGGAACCGAACTATTTTCGTTGAATCTGCAGAGCGTCCCTGTACTAATACTTCTCCAAGCTGATGGGAAACCGTTGCGAATGCCTTTGAAAGGCGTTCTGTTCTTGACTTTCCCAACCATCAAACACGTCGCTGACTATACAGAGCAATATTTTCCCGTTTAATACACACTCAGTTGCGCCCCCCCCCCTCTCTCTCTTGTTACTTGCAGAGTAACCTGCCACCTCAGCTACTTAGCTCCATTAGCGGCCCCTGGCCTGGGAAGTTAGGCTCTTACAAGAGCGGGGTGTCGCAACTGGTGTTATGGCTATACCCAGTATCGCAGTTAACGCGGCGACACCGACGCTGGGTGATAGTCTAGCAAACAGCACCACGACTCGGGGCTCGCTGTGGGTTTTTGCTTCAATACATGGTTTTCCTTCTACGCGCAATCTTTACGGGCTTCGTTGGGCGCTTTCATCCCTTTCACCGGTAGTTTTTGGTGAAGCTCGTGGTATTAGTAGCACTGGTTGCCGAGATTATCCACTTGTCTCTAATCTCTGACAAATGCCGCACCGGCCACACGTTTCTAATGCATGCGCGCTGTTCCGTATGGCTCTGCAAACGAAGACCACTAGCTGCAGAAACTTTCCAAACATCGTCCAAAATCCATCGACCTGAAAAGCAGCTCGAACAGCCCGAGCCCGAACTTGACACCATCACCGCAAGGCGCGCTCACCTCCCTCCACCTCCCGCCGAGGCCTTCACAGCCCCGTCGCGCCTGGTGCCATCTGGCGCCAGCTGATGATCGCCCTCCCCACCCGGACGCCGGGACGGCGGCGTGCGGCCCCAGCCCGCGGCGGGGCGGTGTCTGGCGGGGCGATCACGACCTCCTCACGCCCCCGCCGCGGCCGACCCGCGGCGCGTGCTTCACCAGCCACGGACGCGTGCCAAAGTGGCCCAGTTCTTTTCACCATTAATAGAGGGCGGCTGGCCAGGCCGGCAGCGGCTCCTGCGCACACTCGCAGCCCGCTGGGTCTGGCAGACGAACTGTGAAACAAGCCCGGCGAGCCGTGCACGCGGCGCAGGCTGTCCCCGGGTCGGCGGCCGCCGCCTGCTGCCGCGAAACGGAGCGTCGTGCGCGGCCGACTTAGCAAGCCAGCTGGCCTGGTATGTGGCCAGCAGGCGGCTGGAGACCGCAGGCGCATTTCAAAGTACGCCTGTCAGCTGGCGCGATGCAAGTTTTGGACTTTGAAATCATGCCATCCACAGGGGTTTCCGTGTTCGTCGACATGGGGGCGGCAGAGATCATAGGCTCCCGTTGTGCCGCCCACTGCGGCAGGAGTGGCCATTGTTCCGCAGTGGATTGTTCCTCTCCATCGTCAGGGTTAGGCACTCACCTGCGGCCCCGAAACACCGGCGAGCTGGCCCCGCGTCTGGGTTGAGGAATGCTCTGTCCACCTCATCTCTGCCCAGACGGACTGAGTGGAGTCTGCCAGTGGGCCGGCCGACGTTTCTCCCCCTCCCTCTCTCCCCCGCAGAGCCGTCAGACTCGGTGGCAGGGCGGAGAAGGGGAGGGGCTCTCATCGCGCCACCCCCGCCGCGCGTGAAACGATTTATGCGTCTCGGCTGGCTCTTTGTCTGTGCCGGCCGCCAGCTGACTGGATGACCGCAGGGCTCCCCATAAAATGAAGGTGCGCACGCACTCGGAAGGGGGCAACGCCCCCACCTGTTACGACACGAGACGAGCGCGAGGGCGGCGCGCTGGGTATGCAGATGGTGGTACCACGCGCTCTCAAGCGCCAACGGGATGGCGCTTCATTTGCCGCGCGGGACAGTTTGTTAGTCATCATTCATACTGGTCGTTAAGATGGCAGTCCAGGTACCATCTATTGAAAGGGAACCGCGTCACGCAATTTAAATGTGAAGTCAGTTGGTTTTTAATGTTTACTGCTAACGGTGATATAGTGGTCTTCTCTGAATCACCAGTGATAGCACATTTACATATACACCAGGCAGTTGTCCACCATAGCAGCGCACTGGGACGAGCGGGCATTGTGTGGCTTCTCTGAATGAGGTCCTTATCTGCTCCGGTGCACCCTCGTTCTGCTTTGGTCTGCCATGCTCCCGTCGCGTCTTCTCCATGTCTTCTGCAGCAGCGTGTGCGCCTCGCGTCTGGTCGGTCGCCGTGCTCCGCCTGTGTGGGTGTCAGAGGTGTCACCACTCCTCCCGGCTCCCACACACACCCGAGCTGTCGCCTTTGACCCGCGCTCAGAAGCTGCGCCTGCTCTGAGGTCCTCAGCCGACCACCTGTCAGAGGCGTCACCACTCCTCCCGGCTCCCGCACACACCCGAGCTGTCACCTTTGACCTGCGCTCAGAAGCTGCGCCTGCTCTGAGGTCCTCAGCCGACCAGCTGACGCTCCAATGGTGCGCTCGCTGGGTATTGCAGGTATGCGTTGGCGTGCTGGTCGTAAATCAAAACATGATGCGAAGTAAAATGTGACGCAGTGTCTGCACAGGCTAGGCTCCGGGCACCCGGGGCACTCCGAGCACTCACAACGGGCCCAAACGAACACCACATCCAGCGCCAGCCCTGGCCGTCCGCTGATGACGCCCTCCTCTCGTCAGGTACGGCTCTCACCTGGTGGTGATCCAGTCATACGACCAGAACAACTTCACGCGTCACCTGGCTTCGGAGGCGGTGGAGGAGTCCGACCCGGCTCGCTACTGGCTCGGCTTCCGCACACTCGACGACCTGAGCACCAACAGCCTGGAGACGGCCGCCGGCACACTCGAGAGCCAGTACATCGGCTTCTGGGACCAGGTGAGGCAGCCAGAGCCAGTGCATCTGTTCTGGGTATCAAATGAAAGTATTCCTGAACAGAGAGAGGGGAATAATGTCAAATAGCATTAGAAGACAATAGCTGGTGATGTTTGGTACTTGAAATCTGGCACTGTGTGTATTCATCACCACACTTCCGTGTGCACATGTGCAATACACCTTGGAGAGAAAAAAGTTTTTCATTGTTATGAAATCCTTTGAACCTGCTTGATTGGCAAGGTGTCCCTGTCATGTACCAATGTAGCCTTAATTGCCTTAGTTTCTCGCTAATGTACCCGGGTAAGCTCCAAACACGGAAGATGTCGTCCTGTCTGCGCGGCGAGCGCCGCTGGGCGCTGACCGCCGTGTCTCCGCCGCAGGGTAACCCGCGGCCCGAGCTGGGCGAGTGCGTGCGGGCCCGCTTCACCGACGCGCGCCAGAGCTGGGCGCTCAGCACGTGCGAGTACCTGCTACCGTTCATGTGCCGCGCCACCGCCTGCCTTAAAGGTGAGCTGTCAACGCCGGAAGCGCTCCGCATCCGCCACTGGGCGGCGCTGGGATCGAGGCCGACGGGCTGCTGGATTTTCTTTTGTGGGCGAAGTTTTACTGAGAAAATGCTCTAAAGAAAACGTCATCGAGCATTTCATCACAGAGTAACCATTGGCACCATCACTTTATTCGCTATTTATTATGTGCTGAGTATTAGCTAGTGGCAAACGTTACCATGTGGGTACAAACAGTTGGCCACGTGCCGCGTCACATCGTCTCCACCGTTGATCACGTGCCGCGTCACATCGTCTCCACATTGCGATGATGATACACCCAATCATAAACGGGCATCGTTAGGTTTTGCCCACGTTGATCTGGGTTAGGTGCCACCTAATGGGTGTCTTTTTGTTGTAAATGTTCCCAGCACCCAGAACATCTTCAGATCCGCACGGGTTTGCCCTGGAGTTCTACTCGTTAGCAGTTTGAGATTCATCCTCATTCCAAGCAAAAACTTAAATGACAGCACAATGGGTGATTCCTGGAGTGTGATGCGAAGACGGTGACAAAAACCAAGCAGGTTGGGAACATTGTGAAAGAACGCAAGCGAAGGCCATCTTCGGGCGCCAGAGCGCCAAGGGCGACCTTCCGTGCATTAGTCAGACAGTTCTTCCGACCTTGACGCTAGCAAGCCAAAAATCCAATCGGCCTCCGAATTGAAGGCTAGCCGCGACTCTTGACTAAGTCGCGAGGTTCTGCACACCACGTCACAGGCGCAGCCAGTGCAGATATGGGTATCCTATCTTATACCCATTTTTGTCATTTTTCACCATTCCACTCTAACAAACTCCTGACAGTGAGTTAAAACCAGCGTGATGGTTCTCACTGAGTTCCCCCTCCCCCTAATATAAAAACCCTGAGTGCGCCCCTGCATCTAGTGACGTGCGGATTATAGCCGCTCTACGCGGCGGGACATCCAAGCGATTTGGCGTACTCGTTGGTATATCACGGAGGTCGCTCTGCGCGAGACAGCTTTGTCACATGACCTGCTGGATCAGTGTTCTTCGTGACTGGCCCGGCCTGGTCAGCTGAAATGAGCCGCCACTGAGGGGGGGGGGGGGGGGCAACGAATGTCATACACTGATCTTACCTTGTTTGTTCAGTTACTTGTAAGGGGCGTCTTCCGCTCGTGGGATCAGCGCGTAAGAGCGTAGCTGTCACCACAGAAGCCGGTTTCCAGTCTACTTTAGATTGTGTAGTTTGCGTGATCCACACGCTAACAGCAGGGCACATTGTGTGATGTGTTGTCTGTGATTGTAGCATGCTGTCTGTTCAACATCACGATGTGATAGCAGCTTTAGGTTCTGTACGTCTGCTTGTTGCTTGTGCAGGCTGTAGCTCTGTCCGTAAAGTGCCCTACAACAACGGCGAACGTTTGTGAGGTGATTTGTAAGCCGCCGTGTTCAGATGCACAGGACACGTTATGTACGCCATGAAACGTTCTTCTGTGTTGCGCAGGTCACTTCCACTGCGCCAACGGCAACTGCGTCAACGGAGCCTTCCAGTGCGACGGAGAGAATGACTGTGGCGACATGAGTGACGAGAGTGACTGCCAGGCCACCACGCCCTGCCATGGTGGGTGCTGGGGGCGGCACGACCCTCAGGCCAGCCCAAGGCTGCTTGGTGCTTTGTCGATGCATGGTGTGCATGCGAACTATGTAAATAAATGCATGCTAGTCTATTCGTAAATGGACACATTTAAGTTTGGCAGAAGATGATCTCAAGGAGATTAGGTTCATTCCATGCTTTGCCCTCGGTATGCATTGGTTGCTGGATAACAAACAGCCCCAGGCTGATGAAATGCGCTGCGCGCGATCAAACCAGCTCCGTTTCGCCATCCTTGAAACAGGGTGTGCACGTCACAAACCATTGCCTTCCCCAAACTAAGCTACAGCTCTATTTTCAAGTGGTCCCCCAATGTGCCATCAGTCGACGATAACTAGTGCGTTGACCAGCCGGCCTCATCCGCGCGCTCTGAGACCTAATGTGCCGGCCTCAGCCGCGCGCTCTAAGACCTAATGTGCCGGCCTCAGCCGCGCGCTCTGCGACCTAATGTACCGGCCTCAGCCGCGCGCTCTAAGACCTAATGTGCCGGCCTCAGCCGCGCGCTCTGAGACCTAATGTGCCGGCCTCAGCCGCGCGCTCTGATACCTAATGTGCCGGCCTCAGCCGCGCGCTCTGAGACCTAACGTGTCGGCCTCAGCCGCGCGCTCTGAGACCTAATGTACCGGCCTCAGCTGCGCGCTCTGATACCTAATGTGTCGGCCCCAGCCGAGCGTTCTGCTCTGAGACCTGACGTGCCAGCCTCAGCCGAGCGCTCTGCTCTGAGACCTGACGTGCCAGCCTCAGCCGAGCGCTCTGCTCTGAGACCTGACGTGCCAGCCTCAGCCGAGCGCTCTATTCTGAGACCTGAGACAGTGCTGTGCCACTCCGCCCTGAGACCTGATGTGAGTGCCGTGCCGACAGTGTACCAGAGGTCCTCGTCGGGCACCATTGAGTCGCCCGGCTACCCGGAGAGGTACCCAGCCAACCGCGACTGCAAGTGGACCCTGGAGGCGCCCGTCGGCCACAAGATCACCCTCCAGGTCAGGCAGCAGTGGAACGGTTCAGGCGCTAGTGGACGGGGTCAGGCACTAGTGGACAGGGTCAGGCACCAGTGGACAGGGTCAGGTGCAAGCGGACGGGGTCAGGCACTAGTGGACAGGGTCGGGCACCAGTGGACAGGGTCAGGTGCAAGCGGACGGGGTCAGTCAGCAGTGGACAGGGTCAGGCGCTAGTGGGCAGGGTCAGGCGCAAGTGGACGGGGTCAGGCACCAGTGGACAGGGTCAGGCGCTAGTGTACAGGGTGAGTCAGCAGTGGACGGGGTTAGACACTCGTGGACGAGTTCAGGCGCTAGTGGACGGGGTCAGGCACTAGTGGACAGGGTCAGTCAGCAGTGGGCAGGGTCAGACACCAGTGGGTCAGGCGCCAGCGGACGGGGTCAGTCAGCAGTGGGCAGGGTCAGACACCAGTGGGTCAGTCAGCAGTGGACAGGGTCAGGCGCCAGCGGACGGGGTCAGTCAGCAGTGGACAGGGTCAGGCGCCAGCGGACGGGGTCAGTCAGCAGTGGGCAGGGTCAGACACCAGTGGGTCAGTCAGCAGTGGACAGGGTCAGGCGCCAGCGGACGGGGTCAGTCAGCAGTGGGCAGGGTCAGACACCAGTGGGTCAGTCAGCAGTGGACAGGGTCAGACACCAGTGGACGAGTTCAGGCGCCAGTGGACGGGGTCCGTGAGACAGGCGCAACATGACCGCTGCTGTCGTCATGTCCTCAAACCCAAATAAGCAGCTAGCCTGGCCCGCGAATTGCATGCCGGGCCTTTTGAAGCAAGCACGGATGGCAACGCGCTCCATGCAATACCGTTAGTGTCATAGGCGCAGGAATAAGGGAGCCTACTGCGCCATGACCTTCCTGCTGTTTTGAAAGTTTAAATGTAACGATGTGTCAGCGCCCGGAGATAATCGGTCAGAAAAAGTGGTTTGGTGCGCCCACTTTTTAGGACTTCCCTGCGCCACTGGCGATGTGGGTTCGTGGTTGGTGCCGTGCCGCCGAAGTGGTGATAAGCGCCGATAAAGGAGGCTAAATAAGGGCATTATTACTCGCGCACCAGCTAGATTGAGCAATGCCTGTTGGAGTGTCGTTGATAGCTGCAATCAGCCGCGCAGGCATTGTGTTTGAGCTGTTGCCCTATATTTTTCGCTCTGAGGCATCATGGTCTTGACAGCGATTTCCTCGTCAGACGTAAGGGAATTCCGAAACTGATAGCCAGAGTCCCGCATACGCAGAAGCTCCCCGCAGCGATGTTTGGTCAGAACACGCTGAGACTGAGGCGACTGAGACTGAAACTGAGACCGAGACTGAAACTGAAACTGAGGCGACTGAGACTGAGACAGTTGTGATCAAGTTATGTGTACCAGACAAGCTGTGAGCAGTCGGACGTCCCTGCAAGCCTGCGATCAAATGTGTAACCGAAACTTGCCCGCAGTTTTCGGCGTTCGACTCCGAGAAGGACTTCGACACGGCGCACATTCTGAGTGGAGGCACCACGGAGGAATCGTCTGTGAGCATCATGACGCTGTCCGGCCAGGAGCAGCTGGGCTCCCAGCTATTCACCTCCGCGTCCAACTTCATGATCGTCAAGTTCCGCAGCGACGCCAGCGTGGAGAAGTCCGGCTTCCGGTGGGTTACCGGCGGATCACAGACCTGAATGACTGGTGCGCGGCCTGTTCCCCGCGAGCCTCCGCCCACTCCCTGAGGCCCCTCGAGGATGCGTATTCGGCCGCCCGCACCCTCAGGCCCCTCGAGGATGTGTATTCAGTCGCCCGCACCCCCAGGCCCCTCGAGTATGTGTATTCGGCCGCCCGTACCCTCAGACCCCTCGAGGATGTGTATCCGGCCGCCCGCACCCTCAGGCCCCTCGAGGATGTGTATTCGGCCGCCCGTACCCTCAGGTCCCTCGAGGATGTGTATTCGGCCGCCCGTACCCTCAGGCCCCTCGAGGATGTGTATTCGGCCGCCCGCACCCTCAGGCCCCTCGAGGATATGTATTCGGCCGCCCGCAACCTCAGGCCCCTCGAGGGTGTGTATTCGGCTCGGATTTGGCTCAGTGGACCGCACACATGTGTGGCCGCCTCATGGTTCTTGCGTAAACCGTGTTCCGATGGCCCCCGCTGGTCTAAGCTTGTCAAACGACTGGACGTGTTGGAATTAAGTGGAAGGAGCGTTGCACCGTGCCATGCAGCCAAGGACACACGATTGCCGACTCAGACGCTACACTTGTGGCACTTCACGCTCGCAAAACGCTTACGCCACTGAATGTGGGGACAATATTTTTGGGGACCATATTGGGGACCATATTTTTGAGTTCAAGGGGAGGAGGAATGGTGGTGTTTACCACTTCTTGGCGATAGGCTTAATAATTTTTGGAGCGAAAGAGTGTGCAAAACCGCGGCCACGATGTGTTAAAAATACAGTTGGCGATTTTCTATAAGGCGTGAGCCAGAGTCACGCAGAACTTACCTCTGAAATTCAGCCACTTCTCACGTTTGCTTCCACCTGCCAAATCGCTTTGAGAAGGACGGCCAAGACGGCGGCTCGAAGAAGTCCGTTTTGAGAAAACGTACCGTTGCCATGGTAGCGGAATAGTGACATCACAGTAGGTGTGACTGTGACGCATCGTCGTGTGCCGACGACCTCTGTGCACGGGCTCAGCCAGCTTTCTCGAGAAAGTTGTGGCAATTGAAAGGGGAAAGGCGGCAAACGTGCACAAACAATTAACTAGCAAATGAGGCAGCTCAGCAGCAGCTACCCACACTTCAGTGTCAACCCTATCACATGCGACTGTACCTCCACTGTGGTGCGTCCTTCCATTCTCATTGTGGGGCTTATTTGACTAAAAGCAACTAACATCACAGTCTTCTCACTCCCTAACCTCAGGTTTAGCAAACGCTTTGTCACACCCTTTTGATTAAGTAGCAGGTCCTCATAAGTGCAGGCCGCGTCATCTCGTGCTGCACGCAACTCCAAAGGTAAACCATTCAAGGTCATTGCACGTGTTTTATAGCTTGTCTCCTTACTGGTAAGGACACGTGATTCATTGTCCTGGAACAGGCAAGGATTTAGGCTGGATCGACAGACTGGATGTTTGCAAAACAGTGATGACCGTAGTGACATCCAGCAAACACAAATAGATGAACGGTTCCTTTCAAGAGATTTTAACAGCGGGCGTGATTAAGATTTACGCTGTGCTCTTTTGTAGCTGTCATGTCCGCTGTCAAACCAATCCGTCAGCATGCAGACACCATCTGACCGTCCCGGCTTAAAGCCACGTGCTCCCCTCTACCCTGCGACCTTGATAATGCCGTCGTCCTCTGCCGCGCGTCTCTAAACCACGTGACTCATGATCCAGCCGCTCGTTGGCAGACCACGCAACCGTCGGCGGCGGCCGCTGACCCCGTGACCCCGCGTGTCCCCAGGGCCTCGTGGAAGTCGGAGCCGCAGACGTGCGGCGGGGAGCTGATCGCGCCAGCGTCACCGCAGCGCCTGACATCTCCCGGCTATCCGGAGAACTACCCCGGCGGACTGGAGTGCCTCTACACCATCAGGGCGCAGCTCGGACAGATTATCACGCTGGAGGTAGGGAAAATCGACCTTGCGGCAGGATTGTGGGTGACTGGTGGCACTTTATCCTCGTCAGCCATGTTTTTGCGAGCGGACAAGTGAGTAATTGTGTCCGTCTGAAATCCGGCTCCTGTGGAGCCCGTTGTTTGGTGCCCGAGAACCTCAGACGTTAGGCGTTCTTAGACTTGACGTTTTTCTTAGACTTAGACGTCAGACGTTCTTGTCTATGAACAATGGTAAACAAATCTATCCCCGAGGTTTACACATGTCACACAGTAAATTCTCGAATGATGGAGACATGACCGTAACGAAATCGTGAGAATGGTTCCCGAAGACATTAAATCGTGGAGCATGAGAATGGTTCCCGAAGACATCAAATCAATTTGCACTGTCGTAGGTCCAAAAAATTAAAATCATGATGACGTCAACTGACACGAACGTTTTAACACAGCGTCACCTGTTCTGCTCAAGACCCAGCTCCATACGCCCCCTCCCCCCTCCCCCCCCCCCCCCACACCCTCATTGCCGGCTGTTCCCCAGATCGAGGACCTGGACCTGGAGCCGGGGAATGACTACATCCGCGTGCGGGACGGGCCGGGTCCGAATGACCGCCAGCTGGCCTGGCTGACGGGCCGCGGTGCCGCCCGCTCCTTCGTCTCCTCCACCGGCAACACCATGTACCTGTACGTGCGCACCGACCTCGGCAACAGCCGCAGGGGCTTCAGCATCAAGTACAGCGCAGGTCAGTGGAGCGGGTGGAGGCGGCCGGTGCCGGACAGGACAGAGTGCGTCAGTTGAGCTCAGGCGGAGTACACGGGACGGGACGCGACCGAACACGGGAGGGGACGCGACCGAACACGGGACGGGACGCGACCGGACACGGGACGGGACGCGACCAAACACGGGACGGGACACGACCGAACACGGGACACGACGCGACCGAATACGGGACGGGACGCGACCGAACACGGGACGGGACGCGACCGAACACGGGACGGGACGCGCTGTGACCAGTCTAACATAGACGGAACACCCGCGACGGGACTACGGCGTGACGCTCGCCAAGACAACGCAAACGTGTTTCAGCAATACGAATACGGTGAACGCTTCACGTGCTGGAAAGAACTTCTGAGTGTTGTCTTCTGTGCTCGTTATTGCCAGTAACCAGAACAGGCTGAGCCTGGGAGACGAACTGTGCGACACGCTCGAAGGACGCCGCCCTCGAACACCAGTCGCGATGCACGCAGCGTCGTGACGTCGCGAAGTCGATTTCACGGAGCACGATGCACGTCCGCTGCGTGTCTATGGTCCAGACGGCCTCATCTTCTGCGCCGTGACGGTCCCTGGTCCCGCTGCAGGCTGTGACGTGACGCTGAAGGCCGACAACGGCACCATCTACTCGCCGGCGTACGGGGTAGCCTACTACCCGACCAACCTGGAGTGTGACTACCTGATCCAGCGGCCGGAGGGTGGCCCTCTGAGCCTGCGCTTCACACACCTTACCCTGGACGAGACGGACGGCGTGCAGGTCAGTCGGGGTCAAGGTCAGCGGCGGGTCACGCCACACGCACTCAGTGGTCGTCTGTCCGGCTCTCCGTCGCACGCAAGCTGCATCCAGGACAGATCGGCAGTACTCGCGGCCCGCGTTTTGTCCACCTGACTGAGAATTCAGAGTGCTACCGCTCAGGCATGGAGTTCACGAGCAGATGCGTCACAGAACGAGTACGTAACACACGTAGAGTCTTTCCATCTGCTTTTTAGGTCAACATCGCTGCACTGCAGCGGAAATGACGTAACCGCGAGAAACCGGTACCCCTCGCCGCACCGGGTGCACCACTAAACAAACGTCGCGCCATCCATCAGCGTACGGGCGCCGCGTTTAAAGCCCAGTGTCCCGCTGTGTGTTCAGGACTCGTCTCACTTGCAAGTGGGACTCTTCTGCGGAGTCCCGTGTCAGGCTGGCCACTGACGCGGGCCGGCCTCACACGAGAGAGTGGGGCGCGCAGATGACGAGGGTAACGGGCTATGTTTTGCGACAAGATGCACCCGGCTTCTTTCATGGTTTCTTCGTCTGGTGGCATTCTGCAAAAACTGAATTGAGGCATCATTCAATTCGCGAATTCTGTTCAGACACTGTCGTGCTTCTTACTGCACATGTTTTAACGGGAGTTACATTCTGCTCACCCTTGGGTTTTTGGTCAATGTTTTTGTTCACCATATGTGGTGAGCACAAGTTGCATTCTGCTGCAAACAAAAAGTTTACTTTAACAATAGCGCACCGTGCCTAGACCTGGCTACCATTTTCTGAAGACATTGCCACCTCCGGTACTTAACGCACCGTTTCTGTCTAGTGTCCTAGTTTCCGCTCGAAACAAAAATCACGAAGAATACTTTTGTGATATCCATGTCAACAGTCAAAATGCGTTCGTTTCTTTTTGCAACGATGCTGAAGGAGTGACACGAGTCCTGATGTATTCAGTCGTATGAACATTGAACTGTTGCAGCCGGTGCACTTATTGGAAGGCAATGTCCGACGACGTGTTTTCACCCCGGAAACGCCCATAGTAACGCTTCATGTTCCCGATGCGCAAATATCCCAGATGTTCTGACCCTCGACCTTTTTAGAGCACGCAACAGCACTTGAGAAACACGACATGGCTTATCGTAGGAGCCAGAGCACGTGATGTATCATCCAGTGGCAGGTCCCAAAGGGGCAGCTCACGCAACAGACGAACAGATCACGGTCTTCACATGCTCCCATCACACATAACACGGAAACATTATCCCTAAATTGGAATACTTGAGACTCCACGCTAGTAAGGCTGTCTTCCTAATGCCCGCGGTATCACCGTCTGCGCCCTTTGATAAAAACTGTTTGCACGATATTGCAGTCTGCTCTACGGCTGGATACCACGTGGAAGGAGTGGCTTGACCACGTGCCCACATTCCCCATGCTTAAGTCAGATGGTGCACGCAGAAAAGAGATCGATGTACTTAATGTGGGTGTATCCGAACAACGAAATACACGAGTCATTCACGTGCATTGCGAAATGCACGTGCACTTATAGGCGCTCCACGGAGTGCCAAATCTCCCTTCTCCCAACAACCAATACTTCCATACTGCGTGTGCTCCTATGGTCGGTGCCATCGACTCCTGGTCTCCACCTGTGGCCCCTGACCACCGTCAGCAACCACTGACCCCCGCCTGTGATTTATAACCCCCGTGTGGTCCTGACCTCCGCCTTTGACCTCTGATCCCCGCTTGTGACCGCTGACCTCCGCCTGTGACCTTTGACGGTCGCTCGCTTGCTCGTCACAGGTGTACGACGGTCCGGACAGCTCGAGCCTGCGCCTGCACTCGGGCGCTGGCTTCACCGGCCAGCTGGTGCCGCAGCTGACCCTGACCGCCCAGTCGGGTCAGATGCTGGTCCGCTTCATCTCCGACCCGCTCAAGGCCAGCAGAGGCTTCCAGGCTGTCTTCTCGTCAGGTGCGCCACCTTTGGAATGCCCCGGACGCTCCGGATGTCCCGCAAGGAGGCCTTTAATCGCACCGCTTCTTGTTATCCTCGCGTGGTATTTTTTTTTTACTTTTTTTTAAAAATCGGGCTTTTGTTCGATTATGCTCTTCAGCAATTGTCCGATTACAGATTGACGTCTTGCACGAGGACTGGAAGCTGACAAATCATGTCATTTCTTAGAGTAGGCGAGATTTGTTTTTTGCATGACCAGTGAACACCGGCCTTGCTCTATTCACGCCGCTGGTAGCGCTCGCTGGTTGAGTGACGTCACATCGGTGTTTTCCAGATTGTCCCATGCTGGAGCCCGGCAAGGGAGCGCTGGGTACCAGCCGGGAGACCATCTTCGGCACCAGGGTGACCTTCACGTGCCCGCCGGGTCAGGAGTTCGCCACGGGGAAGGCCAAGGTCATGACCGAGTGTATGCCCGGCGGCCAGTGGAGCGTCAGCTATATCCCCAACTGCCAGGGTGAGACGTTCGTATGACGCCATGAAAAAACCCTGCACTTCTAAATACGTCATCTATTTGACGCCTAGATTAGGCTTTAATCTTTAACTTAAAGCACCCACAACAACTTACGCGAACTTGCTGAAAGAACCGCTTGTCATTTTTTGCGCGTTGCTCACTCGTCATGTATCCATGCAATCTTCAACTCGCTGAAATTGAACATCTTGGACACATTTCGTTTGCATGGAACAAATCACAACAGTCTTCATGTATGCTTCGCTCGTGACCGTCTCCCTGTCTGACCCCCCTCCCCCTCCCCCGGCAGAGGTGTACTGCGGTCCGGTACCGCAGATCGACAACGGCTTCTCGATCGGCGCCACGAACGTGACCTTCCGGGGCGAGATCACGTACCAGTGCTACGCCGGCTTCGCCTTCCCCAGCGGCCAGCCTGTCGAGACGATCCAGTGCTCCGCCGACGGCAACTGGGGCAAGCTGCCCGTCTGCCTCGGTAAGGGAGTGCGCGCGGACGCACGCGCCCATCGCGTGTGCTCGGCTCTGATGACTGTGGGTCGTGCCCAACCTTACGGTATTGTTGTGTCGATAGTTTGATCTCTGTTGGCAAAGCCGCTAGTGCTTCAGTATGGCTTGTTCAAAGTTGTTGTATGCTCTGTTGTGGACATACTTCTACTGGGACTGAAGCCGGTTCTGTGCTAAGTTGTGCATGATAAGACACTTTGTGATATGATATGGCAAACGTCCTATTAGGATTCGTATCATCATTAACCATGCATGTAGTCGCCTGTATGTATAACTATATGCGCATGCGTTTGGTATGACTTAATTATAAGGTGCACATGGTACATGTGCTGGTTTTTAATAAGATGCGTAGTGTGACGCATTGCTAATTCCCGATCTCCTGTGCGCGTGCTGGGCTGCTGACGTACATTCCCATCGTCCCAGCGTCCCAGTGTCCCGCACTCCCGGAGGTGCCGTTCGCCCAGAAGCAGCAGCTGAACGGCGGAGGTCGGAGTTACGGCACTGTTGTCAGGTGAGCGCGGACGAGAGACACTGTTGTCAGGTGAGCGCGGACGAGAGACAGTGTTGTCAGGTGAGCGCGGACGAGAGACACTGTTGTCAGGTGAGCGCCGACGAGAGACACTGTTGTCAGGTGAGCGCGGACGAGAGACACTGTTGTCAGGTGAGCGCGGACGAGAGACACTGTTGTCAGGTGAGCGCCGACGAGAGACACTTATGCCCGGGATGGATGCAATGACCGCGCGGCGCCCCTGCAGAACAGAAGCAAACTCCCTGCCGCCGACTCCGGTAGATTATGAGGGCCACAGCTATGCCGTCGGGGACGCTGCAGCTTACGGTGGCTCGTGCTTCTTGATGCACCTGTTGGGGATTATAGCTGATGTCATTGCCGCTGAACTTAACCGCAGAGGCACAATCATTGCGCCAGACGGGCTCCGCCCTGCCCTCTTGATGTGCCGCGGTCACGCAGCATCGAATTCCCAGCTGTCGGCATTAAAAACACCTGTCACTTATCGGAGGGCCCTAATTAAACAAGCACGCCTCTCCCGCGCTTTAGTCAAGAACTTTGTAAATCGCAGGTTTGACGCGCGCCGAGCGGCGCTGCTGACGTCTGTCTCCCCATAAACTGACGGTCGTGCCCGCCGAGCGGCGCTGCTGACGGCTGTCTCCCCATACCCTGACGGTCGTGCCCGCCGAGCGGTTCTGCTGACGGCTGTCTCCCCATAAACTGACGGTCGTGTCCGCCGAGCGGCACTGCTGACGGCTGTCTCCCCATAAACTGACGGTCGTGCCCGCCGAGCGGCGCTGCTGACGGCTGTCTCCCCATACACTGACGGTCGTGCCCGCCGCGGCCAGGTACGAGTGCGAGCCGGGCTACGTCCGGTCGGGCGTGCCTGTCCTCTTCTGCATGAGCAACGGCACGTGGAGTGGAGAGGTGCCCAGCTGCTCACGTGAGTGACCCCGCCGCCACCATACGCAGAGTGGCCGGCTGTGCGCGCGCCGCTCGTCATGCGAAACTCAACTGTGTGTGGTACTTATTGGACTTATTGTATGAATGATTGCGCATCTTTATGCGCAAGTCAAACGTAGTCCTTCCTTCACTGTAATGCGTATCGTCAGCATTTTGAGTCTCTGACCGGATTTACTTGGCGAAAGCTTTTGGTGTTGACGATATAGCCCAAAGTGACGACGTTCAAGTCAGGTTCACTTTATTTCCGGTCTTTATTTCCGGTCTTTATTTCCGGTCTTTATTTCCGGTCTTTGTACCATGACTTGTCGCCGTGACCCGCATCACATCATCTCGAACCTCTGTGACCTGCCCGACCGTCTTTAGACCCGTCGCGTCCCCGATACCGGGGGTCTCTGCCGGTCCCACGGTGCCCGCCTGACCTGACCTGACCTGACCGGCCGTGTGCCCCCGCCAGGTCTGCACTGCCCCTCGCTGCCGGAGATCCCGCACGGCTACGTGCTGTCGCCGGCGGCTGACTACCGGTACGGTGACGAGGCGAGCGTGCAGTGCTACCGCGGCTTCCGGCTGATCGGCTCGGCGGTCATCACCTGCGGACCCCAGCAGAAGTTCATCAACCTGCCGCAGTGCGAAGGTGAGACGCGTCAACGGCACCAGCGGCCTGGCAAAGCATGTCATTGGGAAAGGCGAGCTGTCGAGGAAACCAGCGACATTGTTCGTGGCTAGCGCATGCTCGTCGCTTACAATATTGTGCGCACATCAAAGCAGTGCTGGTGCTTTCGAGGATAATGTACTACCTCCAGCATTGAATGGCAGCGGATCGGACCTGTCCAAAGGTAAATGCAGATCTTGCTCCCAGCACAACGTGCCCAAAAATACAGCGCAGAGTACCCGAGGTCCATTGTGTGTGGGCGACTTCTGGTACGGCCACCTCCGTATCCGAGCTAATGGAGGGACATGTCTTTGTCCGGGGCATTTCACAGCATCTGTAGTGTTCTTCAAGACGTGTTTGGCAGCGGTCCCTAAACTGAACCCCATGCCGTCCTGCTGCAGACATTAACGAATGCGCGGCGGCCAAGTGTGACCTGACCTCGACCAACTGCTCGAACGTGGCCGGCTCGTACCACTGCGGCTGCCGCGACGGCTTCCGGCCCAACCTCGAGTGCCGGCCGGTGGCTGAGCTCGGCGTCAGCAGCGGCGCCGTCGCCAACGACGACATCCTCGTCTCCGGCACCGAGGACGGCTATGACAAAAACGTGAGCTGCGGATCGGGGCTCCGGACTGCCGTGAGGCTCAGCTGACAGTGCTGAGAGAGCTGGCTTGGGTAGTGTGTTTGTCGCGCATATGCCTTGTAATGTCTGTTGGCCTCGCGTCATGAAGTCGGCAAAGTTAGCCATGCATGGCGACCTTGCTGCAGCGACTACAAGCGGTCACTGTCTTGATCAAATGCTCTACCATTAAGTTGTTCAGCCCACAACGTAAGCTGGGTATGTTCTACGTGGACGGTTGTTCTGTTTGTGTAGTCTTCAGGCTGTTAACAGCCTCTCTCGAGCCGCGTGACATCCTCGAAGGCTGATTTTCAAGAAGGCCCGCTACTCAGCAGTATAACCCTGCGCGTCACCGTCTGACCCCAGTGACCTCGTGCGCCCGCAGACGGTGCGCCTGAACGCCGACGGCGGCTGGTGCGGCGCGCGCGAGGGCCCCAAGGTCAACTGGGTCATGATCGACCTGGGCGCGCCGACAGTCGTGCACGGCTTCCGGATTCAGCCGGTCTCGCGGCCGGACCGCACCGTGGCCTACGCCAAGAGCCTCAGGTACGGGCCCCGCCCACTGATGGCCCCGCCCACTGACAGCCCCCGCCCGCTGACGGCATACGCCCACTGACGGTCCCCACCCGCTGACGGTCCCCACCCGCTGACGGTCCCCACCCGCTGACGGTCCCCACCCGCTGACGGTCCCCACCCGCTGACGGTCCCCACCCGCTGACGGTCCCCACCCGCTGACGGTCCCCACCCGCTGACGGTCCCCACCCGCTGACGGTCCCCGCCCGCTGACAGACCCCACCCACTGACGGTCCCCGCCCGCTGACGGTCCCCACCCGCTGACGGTCCCCACCCGCTGACGGTCCCCACCCGCTGACAGACCCCACCCACTGACGGTCCCCACCCACTGACGGTCCCCACCCGCTGACGGTCCCCACCCGCTGACGGTCCCCACCCGCTGACGGTCCCCACCCGCTGACGGTCCCCGCCCGCTGACGGTCCCCACCCGCTGACGGTCCCCACCCGCTGACGGTCCCCACCCGCTGACGGTCCCCACCCGCTGACGGTCCCCACCCGCTGACGGTCCCCACCCGCTGACGGTCCCCGCCCGCTGACAGACCCCACCCACTGACGGTCCCCGCCCGCTGACGGTCCCCACCCGCTGACGGTCCCCACCCGCTGACGGTCCCCACCCGCTGACAGACCCCACCCACTGACGGTCCCCACCCACTGACGGTCCCCACCCGCTGACGGTCCCCACCCGCTGACGGTCCCCACCCGCTGACGGTCCCCACCCGCTGACGGTCCCCGCCCGCTGACGGTCCCCACCCGCTGACGGTCCCCACCCGCTGACGGTCCCCACCCGCTGACGGTCCCCACCCGCTGACAGACCCCACCCACTGACGGTCCCCGCCCGCTGACGGTCCCCACCCGCTGACGGCATACGCCCACTGACGGCCCCCACCCGCTGACGGTCCCCACCCCACTGACGGTCCCCACCCACTGACGGTCCCCACCCGCTGACGGCATACGCCCACTGACGGCCCCCACCCGCTGACGGTCCCCACCCACTGACGGTCCCCACCCACTGACGGTCCCCACCCACTGACGGTCCCCACCCGCTGACGGTCCCCACCCGCTGACGGCATACGCCCACTGACGGTCCCCACCCGCTGACGGCCCCCGCCCACTGACGGCCCCCCGCCCGCTGACGGTCCCCACCCGCTGACGGTCCCCACCCGCTGACGGTCCCCACCCACTGACGGTCCCCACCCGCTGACGGCCCCCGCCCACTGACGGTCCCCACCCGCTGACAGACCCCACCCACTGACGGCCCCCGCCCACTGACGGTCCCCACCCGCTGACGGTCCCCACCCGCTGACGGTCCCCACCCGCTGACGGCCCCCGCCCACTGACGGCCCCGCCCACTGACGGCCCCCGCCCACTGACGGTCCCGCCCACTGACGGCCCCCGCCCACTGACGGCCCCGCCCACTGACGGTCCCCACCCGCTGACGGCCCCCGCCCACTGACGGTCCCCACCCGCTGACAGACCCCACCCACTGACGGCCCCCGCCCACTGACGGTCCCCACCCGCTGACGGTCCCCACCCGCTGACGGTCCCCACCCGCTGACGGCCCCCGCCCACTGACGGCCCCGCCCACTGACGGCCCCCGCCCACTGACGGCCCCGCCCACTGACGGCCCCGCCCACTGACGGCATACGCCCACTGACGGCCCCCCGCCCACTGGTTGTTCATTACAATGAAGACATGCATAGCGTGCTGCATGTCAAAAAACATGTCTGTGTCGCTTGCGTGGAAACACGTCAATGTGCTTTGAGAACACTTCAATATGCGTGGGGAACACCTCAATGTGCTCGGGGAAGTCGTCAATGTGCGCGGAGAGCTCTCCAATGAGCGTGGGGAGCACGTCAATGTGCGCGAGCATGTCACCTCCGTGTGTGGTGGCTCTCCGTGACTTTTGCGTCACTAGATTTCTCTCGTTGATGTTGATGTGCGGAAAGATTCACCTTGGTTCGATGTTTTCGCTTGAAAATGGCGTGATTACCATGGGGGCATGACGCAGTTTTTTTAGTGACTTAAATAAGTCGCAATACTCCACGTGCTACTGACTCAACGGAAGCGATGCAGGCGCATTAGACATCACCAGGTCTCGACAGCACCACCGTGTGTTCACTGTGTGACACTATGTGACAGCACTACTGGGACAGTCATTATCCATGGCGCCACTGCGTTCCCCGGGCCGTGCTGCATGCACGAGCTGAGGTGACTGGTAGGATGCGGTAATACCAGATGCCATTTCATGCCCGCGGGAGCTGACGGGCGTGGCGCGAGAGTACATGCCGTCCGGACGTGGCCATGACGTCGCTGTTGCGGCAGGCTCTACTACACGGACGAGCTGACGGACGTGATGCGGGAGTACCAGACGTCGAGCGGCGCTCCGGTGGAGTTCCGCACCGCCGGCGCCGGCCTCTCCGTTATCAGCATGCCGTCGCCCGTGGAAGCCCGCTACGTCAGGCTCACCATCCTCGACTACCAGGTCAGCAGCTGGAGACAACGGCGGTGGAGTGGCGGGACCGCTGGCGGGCTCTGTAGCCGTCTCTGTAACTGCTCTGAGGGAAGCCGCGTCGGTGGCAGTTATCGGCAGTGCTGCAGGGTTTCGTTACCGGGCTTTGTTAGCTGGCTCTCTAGCTGCGTTCCGCCAGCCAGTTCAGCTGAACGAAACCGGGCTTTGTAACGAGCTCCGCTGGCTGACTCTGTGTTGGCTGCTGGACCGCGAGGTTAGCCGCACAGCAGGGCCTCTGTGACGGTTGGGGGCAGGGGCGCTTCCCTGGCTGGCTCTGTGCTGTTCTCGCTGCGCTGACAGCCGAAGAATGATATGCTTCGAGAGCCAATCACGACCGGGAATGACATGCTTCGAGAGCCAATCACGACCGGGAATGACATGCTTCGAGAGCCAATCACGACCGGGACTTGTCACGCCCGCACGCTTGTCCCAATGCAGAGTGTGCTAGAGCTGATAATTCTGCAGTAAAAAGCCAGGTGCTTCTCGTCACCACCAATATCGCCGACAGCGACAACAGCTTTCTCTCCACTGCGGTCAGAGCTTCAGCGTGCCGCGTCAGGTGTGCTGCGTGGCCCGGTGAGCCAAGGCTGAGTCAGTCCCGTTCTGACCAACAGGTGGCGCCGTGCATGCGTATGGAGCTGATGGGATGCTCGCGTCAGGAGTGTACCGACATTGACGAGTGCGCCAAGAAGAACGGCGGCTGCCACCAGCGATGCGTCAACTCGTGAGTTCCGCCCAGCCCACCTCGAGCTCGCAACACGTGGAAGGGGCCGTCGCTAGAAGCATAAAACAAACGATAGTGATCTCCGCAGCTACCTTTTGCAACGCTGGCAACAATGAATACAATACCTGAAGATTTTTTACAATTTGAATTATGATAATTTACTCGCCGATAAAACCACTTGCTTCCATGTGAAATAGGCTTGCGGTGTATTTTCCTGGGCTGTGACATCATCTGAACTGCCTTACCCTGACCCCTCTTGTCTGTGGAATGAAATCGTCCAAACGTCATCTCGGCAGAGGGTACGCGCTGTGACGACAGTTGACCTGACCTGACCTGACCCCACAGGGCTGGATCGTTCGGCTGCCAGTGCGACGAGGGGTACGAGCTGTTCACCAAGAACGGCACGGCCGGGTTCACGGTGGCGCCCTCTGAGACGGGCGAACGGGACGGTGACACGTACCGGATCAACAAGACCTGCGTGCCGAAACAGTGCCCCGGCATCGAGGACCCCGTCAACGGCCTGCTGGTCTCCACCCAGGTCAGTGTCTTACTGCCAGCCCACAGCTCCCCTGACCGTCTCCCCCCCCCCCCCCTCCCCCCCCCGCTAGTGCCGCTGCAGTGTGTGGCCAGGGTGCCTCAGATATTTTAACGGCGTTTTGTCAGACTTGTCCCAATGAAGGACCGGCAACGTGCGTACTTGCCTGACGTACCTCTGCCGAGTTTTGGTGGAATTCCGCCGCCATGGGGCAGTCACGGACTTACGCAAATGCTGTTGATCACATACTACCTTCGGGATGTGGTGCACTAGAACCTGAATTGAGTGACAGCAGGTAGCTCATGTTTTAAACAAGTATTAAGTTGTCGCCACATTTTTGCGCATGACAAATGTGACGAGGGCTCATCCAACTTCAATTTGGCCACCGTCGCGTTTTCACTCTTCGTGGCTCAAAACAGACGTCTTCACTCCCCGTGGCTTTGTGTTCACAGGAGCAGTACCACTTCCGTGACGTCATCTCCTTCTACTGTAACTTCGGCTACGTCATGAAGGGCTCTCAGACTCTGGAGTGTACCGCCACTGGCGAATGGAACGGGACAGTGCCCACATGCGAATGTGAGTTACCGGAAAAAGCTATTTCGCTATTGCGGTGACGTTTCCTCTTGGATCTATTTGAAATGAACTTGAAAAAGGGCACAATTTCAATTCACTCTCAGTTTATACAACACATTTCAGTGTCTGTTAAGCACTTGATGGATCTGCAATCTATCAAGCACGTTAAGCAGGCTTTATTTTCCCGATCACGACGGTCGCTCCATAGAGGGACGCAAGCTTTCCCCAGTCTCGTGGCGTCATACGCTCCCGCCTCACTAAGACTACCCTGGCGCGTTTTCAGACGCCTCCTGCGAGCCGCTGTCGGACGGCCCGGAGGAGGGCCTGACCGTAGCCCGCGAAGACCCCGAGGCCGAGGAGGTGACCGTGCCGTTCCGCGAGAACATCACCGTCGCCTGCTCGGAGACGGGCAAGCCGCTTGCGCAACACCCCGCACCGCCGGCTTCCGCCAGTGTGTGTACGACCCCCAGTCAGGTCAGTCACACTGCGGTCCGAGCGCTGACCCTCGCTCGGGTCACTGACCTCTCAGTGAGGTTGACGGCCTCCCGGCCAGCCGGTTCAGCTGCCTACAGTCAGAGCGAGTGGTGAGAGGCAATGTGCGTGTCGTCGTAGAGGGCTACATATAAGTGCGCTACGAAGGCACACAGCCGCTGGACTGGGCGCAAACTACATTATGAAGGCACACAGCCGCTGGGCTGGGCGTAAACTACGTTATGAAGGCACACAGCCGCTGGGCTGGGAGCAAACTACGTTATGAAGGCACACAGCCGCTGGGCTGGGCGCAAACTACGTTATGAAGGCACACAGCCGCTGGGCTGGGCACAAACAACTATTGCGATTGACGCACCCCTAAAGCTTAATAACTAACTAACTTTTAACTGCTGGGCCACTTACTTTACCGTGGTGGATACTAACCGTCTCCCCGAACACAGTGATATGTCGCAGCGTAGTTGCATTCTCGTGATATTCTGGTTATGACATGATATCATGACAACTTGATATCCTCACGCGTTAATAGGTTATCCTTATTATCAGGTCACGTATGGCAGCACAGGGACAGCGACATCGTGGTATTGCAGTTAGATAATGACGGAACTTGTGATATACTCCCAGCCCTACTTGTCGCTCTCTCCACTAATGACATCGCTGCAGGTCTGACCTGACCTGACCTGACCTGACCTGCCGCAGACTCAGCCGACTACTGGATCTCTGGGACGGCGCCAGCCTGCCCCCGGATCGACTGCGGTGTGCCACCGTCCACGCCTGGTGGCGCCTACGGAACATACGCTGACACCAAGTTCAAGAGCAGCTTCTACTTCGGCTGCGAGGACACATTCAGTCTAGCCGGACAAAGCAAGTAAGTAGTGAGGGGGAGAGCAGATATCAGCCCACTCACCCGAAAACTCAGCTGCGCAATGGTAGCCGAGCCTTTTGGAGGCTCGGATGCGTTTATAAACCCTACTCGAATGTTGGTATTGACATTGCTATACGGATGAGCCCCAACATTTATGACATTGCGTGCCTGGTGGCGTTTCTGTGCCCACTGCGCCGATGAACGTTATGCTCGCATCAGCTGGCTGTTGTGATTTATATTCCTCGCTCCCTTTCGTCCGTTTCCATAGCACTAAACCCCCATCATTTCCGTGCGACAGTGTGCCCCTACGTGAAATCACGCAGCGTTGCCCCTTCCGAGGTGAAATTGCGCAATATAACCCCTCCCCGTGGCCTAGCGTGACGCTGCTCCTCTTCACAGCTCCAACGACAACCTGGTACGGTGCCAGGCGGACGGCACCTGGGACTTTGGTGACCTGCGTTGTGAAGGGCCCGTGTGCAGCGACCCGGGCCGGCCGTCCGACGGCCGCCAGGTGGCCACCAGCTATGAGCAGGGCTCCAAGGTACGGAGGCACACGCAGCCAGAACCCCTCCCCCCCCCCCCCTCCCCGAGGCGCCTCGCCTTGGTAGCAGGGGTTGGACTGTCGCTGTCGGTGTGTATCCGGTGAGCATCCGGATATATTTCCTCTGAGCAATGTCTACGCGATCGACTCTGATTTACGTGCCCATAATATCCACAAAAGAATATCAGGGTCTTCATGATTTCGTTTCATAATCAGGATAAATCGATAAGATATCATATTCAGGATAAATCAAGAGGTTATCACAATCAGGGGGGATATAATCAGGACAAATCGACATCGGTGGCTGGTGTTTTGAATCGCCAAGCGAAATGGTGATGTTGGCTCAGTCTTTGTATTGGGTATGCTGATGGTTTGCGGAGGGTCAGCTCTGACGTCAGCCAGCGGTGGCGATCAGTGGCCAGGCGAAGTCACAGCAGAAGCGTGAGCGAACTAACACGACATTCGTTCCAGGTGTCGTTCACGTGCAACAAGCCGGGCTACATCCCGTTCTCTGGCGAGCCGATCGAGTGCGTCCGCCAGCCGGAGTGTGCTGTCATCAAGCCTCTGGGACTCTCGGACGGACGCATCCCGGGTGAGGGGGGCGCGGACTCCAGCCGGGCCGAGCGTGACCCGCCGCTGACTCAGATGTGACCGGCTCGTGAGAGCTGTGTGATGTTATTGCAGAGGTTGGAAAACGGGCATCACTTCTTGAATGTTGTGCGTAGAAAGGTGTTTTGAAATGTATGTTTTTGCCCACACGAGTCCACCAATGACAGCTCATAGCCGCCCCACACTGCAGCCTCAGCAGCCGGCCGCCTTGGGGCGTTAGGTACTAGCAGTCACGGTGCGTGACCGTGCCGTGACGTCCCGTCGGTATGTGACCGTGCCGTGGCGTTCCGCCTCAGCCTCCGCCATCAACGCCACCACGCAGCGGGCCAACTACGAGGCGAACAAGGTGCGCCTGGGCTCGGTTACCGGGTGGTGCGGACAGCTCAACGAGCCCTTCACCTACGTCCAGGTCGACCTGCTCAGTTTGCACCGCGTCAAGGTCAGTGCGCTCTAAAGGTCGCCGCGCTATTGGCGCCATCTGTGGAGCGTGAGTGATGTCTGGCTCGTACAGCGCGGTGCCAGCGTAGGGGTGCCATGGTGACACGGTATGCCCCGTGGTAATTGCTCTGCGGCTGCGCTGCTGTAATCTGTGTTACCCCGGACAGTGCTGCTATGGTCTGTGTTACCCCGGACAGTGCTGCCGAGCAACAGCGTCTGACATGCTATGAGACTGGCTTTTTGTGAAACGTATAGATGTGTCAGGGTGTCTACTAACGATTAGTACATGATTCAGTATTGGAAGCATGCAAACACTTCCGTATCTACCGAATGACAACCACCAGTACTGCCCTCACGCAGCGTGACGTGACGGCTCCCGGCGTGACGTGACGGTTCCTAGCGTGACGTGACGGCTCCAGGCATGATGCGACGGCTCCCCAGCGTGACGTGACGGCTCCCGGCGTGACGGCTCGGTGTGGCGCCTTCTACAGGCGATCCTGCTGAAGGGAGTGGTGACCAATGACGTGGTGGGTCGGCCCACGGAGATCCGCTTCTTCTACAAGCGCGCCGAGGACGAGAACTACGTGGTGTACTTCCCCAACTTCAACCTCACGGCCCGCGATCCTGGCAACTACGGCGAGCTGGCCATGATCACGCTGCCAGAGTCTGTTGAGGCTCGCTTCGTCATTCTGGGTCAGTGGTGTCAGAGTATGCGCGTCTCATCCTCCTAGGTCAGAGGGGTTAACGACTGCTTTGTCATCTCACGTCATTGGTGTTGGCGGGTGCACGACTCGTGTTCACGGAGCAGCAAAGCGCGGTTGTATGATCGCGCAGTTTTTGATCCTGGGTCATCGGTGTCTGGGAGTTCGTTTCTTTACATAAGGTCAGCGGGTTTGTGGAGTGCGTTTGGTCGTCTCACGCGCCTGTCGGGAGAGAGAGCGCAACGTATTGATCTTGAATATTAGATGAGATGTCAGCGGCAGACATATTCTAGCTACCCTTTTGGTCTCCATTAAAGAACAAGTTTTTTGGCGTTGCGCTTATATCACACAAGTTGATTTTCACGTGATCCAGCAGTGACAGCACATCTTTGGCCCTGCCATGACCAGCGCCTCTTCCTCCCCCAGGTATCGTGTCGCACGACAAGAACCCGTGCCTGAAGTTCGAGCTGCTGGGCTGCACCGTGGAGGAGGAGGAGCCGCTGCTCGGCTTCGATATGGGCTACTCGATGTGCGTGGACGCCGAGCCGCCCCAGTTCATCAACTGCCCCAGCGAACTGCTGCAGGTGTGTGGCGCGCTGACCGGCCAGTGGCGGCCGCGGCACGTGCGGTGCCGTTTGTTAGGTGAACAGGGGCCATGCCGGTCGTATCATGAAAGGTCAGTTTTCAAAATGGTTACCTGTTCCTGAAATTGATTTCATAGATGACATCATAGCATAACGCCTCTCCTTACGTCACGCAGCGAGCTCTCTGCCATGGTGCTGTCTAAAACTGCCCCGTGCAGCCCACCCTGATCTGACCTAACCTCGCTCCGCCCTGGTGTCAGGTGGAGAAGGGAGGCAACGGCCGCGTTCTGGCGGTCCACCCTGATCTGACCTAACCTCGCTCCGCCCTGGTGTCAGGTGGAGAAGGGAGACAACGGCCGCGTTCTGGCGGTGCACCCTGATCTGACCTAACCTCGCTCCGCCCTGGTGTCAGGTGGAGAAGGGAGACAACGGCCGCGTTCTGGCGGTCCACCCTGATCTGACCTAACCTCGCTCCGCCCTGGCGTCAGGTGGAGAAGGGAGACAACGGCCGCGTTCTGGCGGTCCACCCTGATCTGACCTAACCTCGCTCCGCCCTGGTGTCAGGTGGAGAAGGGAGACAACGGCCGCATTCTGGCGGTGAACTTCACCGAGCCGCTGGCCACCGACAACTCGGGGATGATCGTGCGCACGGACGTGCGGCCGGCCGGCTTCGGGCCGCCCGTCTTCGTGTTCAGGTCAGTTCCTCTGAGCATGGCTTGTCATGAACGCAGCTGACGTGCTGTCCCTGTGATGATCGGCAGCCTGCGGCGTTTTCAGGCGAGAGGGCGTAATGCGAGAGACGATTTAACGTGTGGAGATTGTCTGGTGTTTTTTCGTGTTGCAGTGTCGTGTTTGTTGCATGTTTTTGTGTCGTGGTGTTCTTCAAGTGCTCGAATAAAGCTTTATAGCCCTTGAGATAACTGTGAATGCATGTGTCCCTAGAAACTGTGACATGACCCAATCCACGTCTGGCAGCTACACTTACTGACGCACCACCCGGTGTGTTACAGAGACCTGATGGTCGAATATCTGGCTTTTGATTTTGACGGAAACGTGGCGATCTGCCAAATGAACATCACAGTCCCCGGTAAGTTGTATCCACTCATCGCTTTGTGGGAGGTTATGGTCACTATTCGTTAGCAAAACGTGACGATTGTGAACTGACTGAAGATTGAAGTGTACTTCAAGGGTGATGGGCAATAACAACGTTATATAATATTATGAAGAAACTTGCCTGAACTGGCTCGCACGGCTGATGCTGAGGCTACGAATGTACCAGACCGGGCGGTCCTTGGACACGCCACAGTGCAGTGACGCGCTGGTGCGCCACCGCCGGTGACACGTGACCGCCGCCGCCGGTAACGCATGACCTCCGCCGCCGGTGACACGTGGCCGCCGCCGCCGGTAACGCACGACCTCCGCCGCCGGTGACGCGTGACCTCCGCTTCACAGACGACACGCCGCCGAAGGTTACCTGTCCGCAGAGCTACGTGGTGGAGCTGGTCGAGGAGCAAGAGGTGTACGAGATCAACTTCAACCGCTCCCGCTCCCAAGTGGACGTCTCTGACGACACTGATGACGTGAGTGACGTCGTGGGCTGTCGGAGACGCGGCTAGCAAATTGTGAACGTTCGGCGGAGGGACGGAGTACTCCGCGGTGATGAGCCCTGACGGATCAGCGAGCACAGTTATGGAACAGAACACCCATAGAACTCACCACCCATCCACCCACCATACCACCACTCACCCACCCAGATCTCGCCTGTATGCATGGTGGCATTTTCTTCTTGGCAAATGGGTACCGGTCTGACTTAACGAACCAGATTGTTGTGTTTCCTGGATCGTACGAAAGCAATCCCTTCCTTCATATCCTAGGTCCTCGACCCACCTGCTCGTCTGTCACCTGCGTCCCATACCGTAACGCTCCACACCAGCCCCCTCTCTCTGGGCCCGCGTGACCTCTTAACCCGCCCTCAGGTCGAGGACATCGCGGTGACGTTCGAGCCGTCGGCGGCTCGGATCCAGATCGGCGCATACGAGAATGTGACGGTCACTGCGCGCGACACCTCGGGCAACCAGGCCCAGTGTCACTTCCAGGTGAGCGCGACACCTCGGGCAACCAGGCCCAGTGTCACTTCCAGGTGAGCGCGACACCTCGGGCAACCAGGCCCAGTGTCACTTCCAGGTGAGCGCGACACCTCGGGCAACCAGGCCCAGTGTCACTTCCAGGTGAGCGCGACACCTCGGGCAACCAGGCCCAGTTTCACTTCCAGGTGAGAGCGACACCTCGGGCAACCAGGCCCAGTGCCACTTCCAGGTGAGCGCGACACCTCGGGCAACCAGGCCCAGTGCCACTTCCAGGTGAGCGCGACACCTCGGGCAACCAGGCCCAGTGTCACTTCCAGGTGAGCGCGACACCTCGGGCAACCAGGCCCAGTGCCACTTCCAGGTGAGTGCGCGCGGGCGAGAGACCCGCTCTGGGGCCTCACATGCTGGCAAGAGGGTCGGGGATGTAAGGAGGGATTGGGTGTTGCTATTTAGGAAGAAAAGGCACGTGGTCAGGTGCGCGTGCAGCTGTAAGGCAGGAAGGCGTCGGTTGAGGAAGATACGTGAGTGGTTTAATGGGTGTGGCCGCGAAGAAGAGGGCGTTTACAATAGGTCCGATGGCTGCAAGTGCATATGAGGGAGGTTGTAGGGCGTTTGTGGTGACGAAATTGACTGAAGCCATGTTCCATTTGTGACGCTCCATACCCGTCGCCGGATAAGACCTGCTCACCTGGCCTTCACCGTGTCGTCACCAGGTGGCAGTGCAGGCGACCCCGTGCGTGGCGTGGGACCTGAAGGCTCCCGCCAACGGTGCCGTGAACTGCCTGCCCAGCGAAGTGGGCGGCCTCCGCTGTCTGGCCACCTGCAAGGAGGGATTCCGGTGCGTCACCGGGCGGCCTGTACCTCCTTAAAACGAGCAGATTTGTTAGCTGCGTGGCGCTGTGACGCTAAGTTATTCGGCATGGTAATGTGCCTGTGAGACCTCTTAAGGAATCTCACAAAGTGTGTGCCAGAACTTCAATGACTATTTTGTGTTCTCCTGTGTTTGTCCTTGATCCCAGCCACGTATGAATGTTTTATGCACTCACCGAGCATTATGTAGCTCCGAAAGGGTATCACCTGTAAACATTGATAGACGTCCCTAACTCGCCATAACCTGACAATGTGCAGATGGCCATCCCTTCTTCACCCCATCCGACCGTTCTGCACGATCCATTAGACCCTGTGACGTCACGCCACCCCGTGACATCACCGTACTGACGCCGCCCTCCTCCGCAGCTTCACTGACGGCGAGGAGGTCAAGACGTTCAGCTGCGTGCCGAAGCAGCCCTGGGAGCCGACCAAGCTGGTGCCCGACTGCGTGACCGAGGACACCGACCAGGCCAGCTACGACGTCAGCGCGCGCATCAACTACCGCTCCAACGGCGCCGTCGCCCAGGAGTGCGTCGGCATGTACAAGGTCAGCGAGACGCCGCGGAGGCGGGGTATGACCGTGTGCTGCGGTCGGTCGGGAAGTATTGGCACGGCATGCGGCTTCTGAGACTTTCATCAGTGTTTGGGAGGCGGGATGACGTGGAGGGGCATGGTTGCAATGCGATAACCCTGTGTCAAGCGTAGGGTTACGGCCGAAAACGTCCAGAGGGAGTTGGTCCGTTCTGGTCGGGGAATATCATCACAGCTCCGGTCAGAGCCCCGTCAGGACAGCTTGTGGAGATAAAAACTGTCAACCTGCGTCATACACATAGAATGTCAGGTCAGGGCTGCTGAGAACGTCATGGTGCCGCAGCGTTGGGATTGAGCGGCATCCAAGTGGATTGAGACGGCCAACTGAAGACCAAAACGATAGTTAAACGCAGGCCCAGGCCTGAGATGCGGACTTTGCGCCAGGCTCCGCCCAGCTATCCGGTTCTTCATCCGGTTTTGATACACGCATTGTTATTAGTTATGCTCACGTCAGCGGGCCGACTGTTTGCCGCCACGCTGATGCTTTGTCTCCGCCTGGTGTCTGCAGGAGGAGCTGAAACAGTTCCACGCCGACCTGAGCTCCGTTCTGTCCGCGCGCTGCTCGCAAGCCGTCAACCTCAACATGGACGTTCGCCTGATGTCCGGCGATGCAGTGCGCGTGGCCGAGAACATGGTTCAGGTGGGTGACATCAAAATGCGTCATCCCTTGTCGCGCACCAGAAGCATTGGCTGCTGACATTGGCGCTGCCTTGCTTATTTACATGCAACAACGCCGGAATCAGGCTAATGTCAAAGTTACCTTATATGGAGTCGTATTCTCTACCCGTGTTCCACCTGCTGGTGCTGTTCCGTTCCGCCTACTGGTGAGAGACCTGAGACGCCATGTAAGTACGGATATCCGGACTGAGAATACGCCCGAATGGTCCGCATCCGTAGTGACATAACGTGCCTGTGCGGCAGCACTAGCTAGTAAGGCGTAATGGAGGTGTAGTGGCCGAGTGTTAGCGCCCTCAGCTTCCATACGGGGCCTGGTTTCTAATCTCGGTTGCGCGTATGCAATGGCCGCTGAAAGGGTGCGTGGTGATGCGCGTCGCGTTACCATGACAAAGATGACAGACAGCACAAGGTCATATTCTTCCCCCATCTTCCACAGATCCAGCACGTGTTGCGCATCACCCCGGAGATCTCCCAGCCGTTGCTATATGACCTGTGTGGCCTGAACCTGGGCCTGATCTTCGAGCTTACCGTGCCCTCCACCTCTGTCGTCATCCAGCCGCTGCTCGACGTCTCCGCCATCGGTGAGGCAACGCACAAGCTCGGCTTACGGGTCTGACGATAGATGGCAGGAGTAGATACACGTCGGTCGCTACGCATCGCTGGAATACAACATGTCTAGCACGTGTGTATTCTGTAGGAACAAGCCGCTTGATGCAGAACATCAAGTGTCAAGGGCGTTGATGTAACAATTGTCTGGGCCTGGCTGACACGTTGGAGTTGTTGCTGCACCTGTCCTTGCTTGTTTATACGGGCTAAGGCCCGATCGCCACTGAAATGAAGCATTCCGCCACTGCATAGCTGCCTGTGTGCCAGGCTATAAAAGGGCTGTCCAGTTCTCCAACGCCCGGGTCTGACACCTCAGCTATCGGCAGGTAACCAGTGTCCCCCGATGCGGGCGCTGCTCAGCAATGTCACCAGAGGCTTCACCTGCACCACCGGCGAAGTTCTCAACTCGGAGTCAAGCAACACGAACGTGCCCAGATGCCGTGAGTACCGGGACAGCAATGCTTGGGAAACCCTTGGCAGCTGAATCTGTGATCAGATTCCAGCCTGACGTTTGTATAATGCTTGATTAGTGGCAAACTGTCGCCGGGGTTGCGTTATTTGTGCCGTAAAGGTTCCAATTGAAAACGCGTTTGCCCCGCTCGCCTCGTTGCTCCGGCTCTTTTCATACGTTCGCGGGCTGGTCTCGATACACTTACGGCACATCATATGCGTGATACTATCCTTCAGCTCAACTCATTCAGGCCGGCGCGTTTGCTGTTACAATGGCTTGACCAGTGACCCCGACGCCGCTGCTCTGTCAAAAAAGACAAAAACACGCCCACTGTCCGGCCCCCATGTTTACCGGGGTGGTGACATGACCTGACCCGTGACCTCTGTCCGCTCCTGCAGTGCACTGTCCGGCCGCCATGTTTACCGGGGTGGTGACATGACCTGACCCGTGACCTCTGTCTGCTCCTGCAGTGCACTGTCCGGCCGGCACGTTCGCTAAGACCGAGGACGATGCGTGCACGGTGTGTCCGATGGGAGAGTACCAGGACCAGAGCCGCCAGGGCAGGTGCAAGAAGTGTCCCGCCGGCACCTACACCCGTCAGGAGGGCAGCAAGAGCGTCCAGGTCAGACGGGGTCCACGGCTAAGGGATGAGGGTAGGGGCCGAGGTACCTCTCTCATGCATCCGATATTTCGTTGCTCTGGATAATAGGATAATATCCTCTCTCTCTCTCTCGTTTTCCTCACCCCTCCCTTGTGCTTTCATCCCTCTCTCCCCTTCTCTTTCTCCTCTTAACCTCTGTCTAAAGAGAAGGGTGGGGGATAAAACAGAAACAATGCGACTGGCACCTGATGAATCATTTGTATGCGTGGTGTGGAAAGCATTTTACACACAATGCTCAAACTCAGGCAGACGAGACTAATCAACTCTGGTGTGCACACTGACCACTGGTCAAGACCCTGTGCCCTGACCTAACCTGACCTGACCTGACCTGGCGGCAGGAGTGCGTGCCGGTGTGCGGCTACGGCACCTACTCGCCGTCGGGCCTGGTGCCCTGCCTCGAATGTCCGCGCAACAGCCACACCGGTCCGCCGCCGGCCGACGGCTTCAAGGAGTGCCGTGCCTGCCCGCCCGACACCTACACCCACGCCCAGGCGGCCAGCGACATCGCCATGTGCAGAGGTCAGCCACGCAGCCTGAGCCACCTTTGAGCTGTGCTGGGCTCAGTGCTTCCCTCCCCTCCTTCCGGGGCTTTATTTGGAGCTGCGTATCGCAGTATAATTTTTGTTATGCTCGCACAAGGAGTTGCCGGACTGTGTTGCCGCCTTTGTAGCCTGAAAATTGCGACTATATTGGAGTTACTGCTGAGTGTTTCTTCCTGCTCTAGAATCAGTGATGTGTGTCTTGTTCCTTGACGGCATGCGGTGATTCGCTGTACATGTTGTACTTAACTGTCATGTACGGACATATGATCGAGATGTATTCGTTTGCGAAAAAATACATCGGCTTTCCTGTTACGCACCTGCTGCGCTCGTTCGTGTCGCCCTGTGGCGGCCTGTATTCACGCACCGCGTCGTTCCGTTTCAGCCAAGTGTGCCCCCGGCACGTACTCGGCCACCGGCCTGGAGCCGTGCTTCGCCTGTCCGCGCAACTTCTTCCAGCCGATCGAGGGCGCCAATACGTGCTTCGAATGCCCGACGGGCAACATGACGGAGTCGGAGGGCGCAACGACACCAGATCAGTGTGTGCCAGTCGCGTGCACTGAGGACACGTGCGAGCACGGAGGACTGTGTCAGGTGAGGACACGTTGGCACATAGAGTGCTCGTACTGAGCACCCGCCTGTGAATCGACATGCTCTATTGGGGTGTCGCGTACGGCTTTTATGTTGTTAGTGACGGAGCATGTGTGCACTTAAACGATAGTTTACCTTTTTGACAAGTAAACGTGAACCCCACCTCCGCACCCAAACACCCACGCATCTGAACGTGATGTCGGTGTCCTCGCACCGTGCGCCAAGCGTCTGCGACGTGTGTACCTTCGCTGACGTGTGTCGCCGGGTCGCCAGATGCTGGGTCACCGGCCCAAATGTTACTGTCCGGCCGGCTTCAGCGGCGCTCGCTGCGAGCTTGACGTCGACGAGTGCCTCTCCACCCCGTGCCACAACGGAGCCGTCTGCGTCGACCAGCCCCAGGTCAGCGGCGCGGCGCCGGCGCCAGGCTCGCCAGTCGAGAGTGTTGGCGACGTGCTGTCGGTAGTGTCAGACGGAGTGGGCTTGGACCGGACATAATTCGGCCTGGAGCGTCTGCTGAGTGCAGGCGCTCACAGCGGTTGCAGCGACGCTTCCAGGCCGCGTTCGGTACCGTAAATTGTAACGCAGGTGGCTGTGCCAGCGCCGCTGCCCCCACACGTCTTCACCTCGGACATGGTCGGCCCCTGTCTGGCACCCGGTGTACAGCGTTGTCTTGTCCTCGGCCAGTCTGTCACCGACCTCCCCTACCGATGCTGTACCCGCCGGAGCGCAGATGGTTCTCCCCCTCCGGGAGCGGACGGCAGCCGCTGACCGCGCCCGATCGCCGCCGGCAGGGCTATCGGTGCCAGTGCGAGCGGGGCTACTCAGGCATCAACTGCCAGATCGAGGAGTCCGACTGCAAGGAGGAGACGTGCCCGGCGCGGGCCATGTGCATGGACACGCCCGGAGTCGGTGGGTGTGGCGCGCCGACCCCGGTCGGCTGGCGGACATCTGATGCACGTCAAACGCACTGCCGTGTTTGGTGTTGGGTCGGGCGTTAGAGTCCTGGTGCACTCGAGAGCCATGCCATGGTGTGGGCTGACTGATAACTGGGCTAGACTTTGAGACACCGGACCTTGACTAAAGGTTATCTTGAGCGGGTATTCGAGCGTTTTTCGCTGATCATGCAGTGTCATCTGTCTCAAACTAAAACAATCATACATGATGGTGGCATCTTGTTCGTGACGGAAACTTGCGATGTCTCCCTTCTGTTAAGTAAGCATTTATCAAGGTGACGTGTGTCGTATGGGCGTGCGAAAAGAGCCTGTGTAGTGAGCAGGGACCGTACGGTAGTCTTGCGTAATGTTTATATGCTGTAAGCTGTCTGGCTTTATGTAACCAGTGCTGAAGTGTTTGTACAGTCTACAGCGCTTCAGTTCCTCGTGCTTCACAACCCTTTATTTACCTGGCCTATCGTGCTGTTTGTGGCATGCCTCATCACCCTCGCCGCGGTACACTGTTACGCACATGGCTGGCCTCCATTTCAGGCAACTTTGAGTGCCTCTGTCGGGAGGGTTACACTGGCCCCAACTGCAACGTGACGGTCGATCCCTGCAAGGAGAAGGGTAACCCTTGCGATAACAGCGCCAGATGCGTCGCCCTACAGCAGGTCAGTATGTCAGGGAGTGTATCCTCCAAGAAACGGCGGCAGGTCGCTTCGTCAGAGAACTTACGGCACATTGCGAAAGGTTCAATGTCGGAGTGCGTGTGGTACAAGCATTTCACTTCATGTGTCTGTGCCTTGTGGGAATGCTGTGGTATCTGCATTGCGCGTAGATGCAGCACGTGTTGTATCTGCACTTGGAAGTTGCATTTAGTAATGCACTTAAGACCTCCGTGGCCGCTGCTCGCGACCTGTACGGCCTTTGTCGGCAGGGTCGGTTCCGCTGCGAGTGTCCGCCGGGCTGGGAGGGCGCGCTCTGTGACGTCAACTCGGACGACTGCGCCGAGCAGCCCTGCCTCCTGGGCGCCGAGTGCACCGACCTCGTCAATGACTTCCAGTGCGACTGCCCCACAGGTGGGGTGCCTGCTGTGACGTCCCTAAGCTTTTTCTGTATAGATATATTGCACATGTTCCATGGCGTGGTTGAACAGACGTCACCTCATTTCCTCATTGTGATGAGTGCCGTGAGCTGACGGCAGCGAAATGACATCATGGTGGAAAAACGAACCATCGTCAGTGAGCTATCTTTAGAACTGTTCAGCCGTTGGCTATGGGGCTCTTACCAACCGGGTACCAACAAGATGACTTGCACGTATATTAAACGTAAGCATGTTTTTCACTTTCTCAACGTACAAAGAGATTGAAATCAGCCAGCATTATTGCCTGTGAATATGTAGCTTTCAAGTACACCTAGTTCAATGTGAAGGAAATACGTAATTTAACGTGTCATATGCCTTTGAGATCGGCATTTCTACCACACCTGCCACCTGAAAACCAAGCAGTTTTCGGGGAGCCAAAACATCAGTTAGCATTACCAGACGGTGCCCCGCCTCACGCCTCTTCGAACTCGCTTCTAACGCCCCGCTTCTACCAATCACGGCCAGGCTTCGCCGGAAAGCGGTGCGAGCGCAAGATTGACCTGTGCTCTGGCGGCCCGTGCGCGCACGGCCTGTGCGTGGACCGGTTCTTCGTGCACCAGTGCGTCTGCGACCCTGGCTGGACAGGTGAGTGGGCGGCTGGCCCGGCGACGCGGGGTGACGTCAGCGCTGGCGGTGACGTCACGAGTGGCAAGGAGGTGTGACGTGACGCGCTGCGTTACAGTCTCGTTCTCTGGAGCGGTTTGGTGTGCAAGGCGTTGTCTCTCCGGGGTAAAACTCGTTTCTCAAGTGGTGCACGCGGCGGAGGGACGTCGTTAAACCCTTGGCTCCTGCACAGACGTCACTCTGCCGATGTTGAATCGCACCTGAGCAGCCTGACTCGCATCAAAACAACCAACCTCATCTTTAAGCCGAAGGTGTAGCCCTTCCGGTCCGCCGTGAGTGACGCCACCTTCTGCCGCAGGCCCGTCCTGTGACGTCAACATCGACGACTGCGTGACCCGGCCCTGCGCAGAGGGCAGCACGTGCGTCGATGACGTTGATGGCTTCAGCTGCTCCTGCGCCCCCGGCTACACGGGCAAGCGCTGCCAGCACACGATAGACGACTGTGCCAGCCAGCCGTGCCAGAACGGCGGCACCTGCGACGACCAGCTCGACGGTCAGTCGCAGATAGCAAACTTTGGCGCATCACATTGGGACAAACTTGACATCATGCGGTGGGAGCAAACGAAAACAGGGGACATCGCGGGTTGCGACGTCACAAGTACAGGAATTTTTTGCAGGGCTTATATTTCAAAGTAATTGGCCTCCTGGACAAAAATAAAACTTAATTACATTGGCGATAGTCAGCTTATTTCCTGCCCAACCTTGCATCCCATGAGGAAATTGCATACCCAGTTTACGCCTCAGGTAACCTCCGTATGTCACTAAACACGCGTCATTGTGCTGCTTCAAGAACCACCAGGCATCAGTAGCAATGAACCGCGCACCAATAAGCTGACCAGCAGCCACAAGCGTCCGGTGCAAACGGACTCAGAGCTCCGCGCTGCTGGTAGGTGATGGGTCGGCGCCATTCTCTCGGACCAGCCGGTCTGACCGCTGACCGCTCCCGCTCGCAGGCTTCAAGTGCGTCTGCCGACCCGGCTTCGTCGGGCTGCAGTGCGAGGCAGAGATTGACGAGTGCACCTCCAGTCCGTGCAGCCCGCAGGGAACCGAGCGCTGCGTCGACCGCGACAACACCTTCGAGTGCGAGTGTCGCGTGGGATACTCCGGCAAACTGTGCCAGGTAAGAGGACCGGTCCCCGGGACAGGACGGCGCCGGTTTGGTGTCGCCCGCATGCGGACACTCTCGAAGCTTCTCGCTGCGTGTGGGATGACTTCGCGGAGGGGAAGATGGATTCAAATTGCGTCAACATGTAGCTTGAGGTTTAGCGTTGACATTAATTTGATAATCGACGACACTCGCCCGCGCGGATGGACGGTGAGCGTGACGTGGATGAACGTCTGCCACGTCCTTGTGGCAGTGCCGTTTCCTCGCCAATCCTGCGGGTCAGGCAAGACGAGCTTCCGCGCTCGCCGGCGACGAGCGGCGTCCCTGACTGAAGCTGCCTCTTCCGCTCCGTCAGACGAACAAGAACGAGTGCTCGTCCAGCCCGTGTATGAACGGCGCCGTGTGTACGGATGGCCTGGACGACTTCACCTGCTCGTGTAAGCCCGGCTGGACGGGCAAGCGCTGCGAGATGGACGTGGGCAGTTGCGAGAGCTTCCCCTGCCTGAACGAGGCCAAGTGTATCGATCTTTTCCAGGTAAGGGCGCGCGTCACGGAGGATGCGACGTGGGGGAGGGGGCGTCTGGACGCGGGGGAGAGCGGCTGGACGCGGGGGAGAGCGGCTGGACGTGGGGGAGAGCGGCTGGACGCGGGGGAGAGCGGCTGGACGCGGGGGAGAGCGGCTGGACGTGGGGGAGAGCGGCTGGACGTGGGGGAGAGCGTCTGGACGCGGGGGAGAGCGGCTGGACGCGGGGGAGAGCGGCTGGACGCGGGGGAGAGCGGCTGGACGGGGGGGAGAGCGGCTGACGTGGGGGAGAGCGGCTGGACGTGGGGGAGAGCGTCTGGACGTGGGGGAGAGCGGCTGGACGTGGGGGAGAGCGGCTGGACGTGTGGGAGAGCGGCTGGACGTGTGGGAGTGGATGGACGTGTGGGCAGGGCGGTTGGACGTGGGGGAGAGCATCTGGACGTGTGGGAGAGCGGCTGGACGTGGGGAGGGGAGAGCGGCTGAACAGGCGCTGTTGGCGCTCCTGCCAGCTGAGTTGCCGGTGGCCAGCCTCCGTGTCAAGTGAGGCAAAGCTGCCGCACAGCCTAGATGTTGTAAGATTATAAGAATTTGTCTCGGGATTTCTTGTTTTCCTTGTTGTTCGCCGCTACAGGTACATTTTTCCACCATGCATTGCCAGAGGCTTTCACAGCGCACAAAACAGCCCGCGATATACGCAGCCCCGCGGCGGAGCCTGTTTATGCGGGCCGATAACCATGGACAGCGCACAGCTCCCAGACGTTCCGCCGGCACTCTGCCGCTTGACGACTTCCGTCAGGGCCCCAGCGCTTCCTGGCCGGGTCTTCCTGATGCGGGCCCGGCCTATCGCCTGCGCCTGGCGCCTGACGCCTGTGTCCGCCTGCAGGGCTTCTTCTGCGCCTGCCCGTCGGGAACGGACGGGGACCGGTGCGAAGTGACTCCCGAGCGTTGCGTCGGCTCGCCCTGTATGAACGGCGGCTTCTGCAGGTCGGTGAGCCCTGCACGGTGACCCGTCAGGTCGACTACCCCTGCTGGAGCGAGGCTCGGTGGGCCAGCCCCCCCCCCCCCCCCCCGCTGGAGCGACACCCAACAGACCAAAGGCCTCTGAAGTCTCGATATGGGCAGATGGCTTTATTCTAAAGAGATGAAGACTTTTACCGGCCAGCCGTGTGGTGCTTTCCATGAACGTGAATGAGTTAGCGAATTAATTGATGGGTGGCTGTGGTAGCTCTTAACTAGGACGACTTCTCCATGCATCGACGGACTTGACAAGTTTACTGTGCACCCTGTTCACTGCGTTTCCACATAGGCCGTCCGCAGCCCTGCGGTGTGGCCCCAGGCTCCCGTCCGTCGGTAGCTGGGGGCCGGTGCTGAGGAGGGGCGTCAGCTGCCGTACACTGCTGACTCGTAACGGACGGCCGTCATGTCTGACCTTGCCGCCGTTCGCAGGGACTACGGCTCGGGCCTGAACTGCAGCTGCCCGGCTGACTACCTCGGAGTCGGCTGTCAGCACGAGCTGGACGCCTGCGAGGCCGGGGTGAGCGACTGGGGCACGAGCCGGCCCGGGCGGCGCCGGGGGCGCCATAGCTCACTGGGTCACTGGACGGGTCACTGGGTGGGCTCTGGAAGAAGGGAGGCTATGCTGGTGGTGAGGGTGATGGATGAGGACATGCCTGCATAACAAACAAGAATCAGCTTTACACTTTTATCAGGACGCTGTAGAAGTCGGATGAGGGAGGTCAGGTCACAACAGAGGGTCACAGACAGTGGCAGGTCAAGGCGCGAGGTCACGTAGTCACTGCAGACCGGACCGCGTGATCCCACATTCAACGTCAGGGGAAAAAGATGTCGCGTATAAGCGCGGCGTAGATCGCTGAAAACATTGTAGCCTATTTTGTTCGTAGCATCCAGGTCGCTTGAGACCGCGACCTACCCCGACAGCGACCTCTGACCCCACGCTGCCGTCGGCGCCTCTCAGGTCTGTCAGAACGGTGCCACGTGTCTGGATGAGGGCGCCGGCTACAAGTGTGTCTGCCCGGCCGGCTACACGGGCGTCAACTGCGAGACGGACATTCCGGACTGCGCGCCGAGCAGCTGCCCGACGGGCGCCACCTGCGTCGACCTCGTCAACGACCACTACTGCCGCTGCCCCTTCAACCTGACCGGCGAGGACTGCAGGAAGAGTGAGTGGTGCCGGGGCAGGGGCGGGGCTGGACACTGTTCCCGTCGGCTGGGATGAAGTGGTGGTGCTTCAGTTGCAGGGCATACATACGTGGGTGTCAAGTGATGGCAGTGGCTTGTAACGCTAACAGCGGAAACGAACGCCCTTCAACACTAAAATATTAAGTCAGTGGCAGCTTTCATCAGAGTTGATTTACCGACTACCACCTCTGCCATTTCACGTGGTAGATACGCGTGGGGTGATGTAATGATATTGACATGAACCTATGTACGTTTGTCCCTGAGCGCCGTTGAATCCCTCTCTCTGATAAAGGATAGCATATCTACTGTAACCTCGCGGCCGTCCGTCAGTTTCGGTGCGCTGGTCATTTGTCCAAGGCCACGTATCGACAATGCCTGCACATGAACGGCGATGGGCGCATCACGTGACCCCGCGACCTCCCGCAGGCATCACGGTGGACTACGACCTGTACTTCAACGACGACTCCAAGTCTTCCTCGGCTTCGCTGTACGCGCCGTTCGAGATGCGCTCAGCGTCGAGCATGTCGCTGGGGCTGTGGGTCCAGTTCAGCTCGCGGCTCGACATCGGCACCTTCTTCACACTGTACAACGTCAGGTCGGTGGAGGCCGGGCAGGGCGAGCCGCGCTCAAATTTCCTCGCAGGCGGCGCCGGCGTGGTCATGTGCCGATGTGCTTCACGTGACATTCTTTCGTCTCAGCATCAGTTGTCAGCTCCACGCGGCGTTTTGGATGTTGAGGTGTGCGCGGATGTCGGTTGCGACTGCCCTCTTAACATCCTCCTTGACCTCCCCTCCTCCCCCTCCTCCTCTCCTCTCCTCCGGCTTCCTCTCTTTCCTCTCACGCAGAGTTGGGCGCATGGCCCGTTTGGTGACACTGTCCCGCTCGGTGTCAGTTCCCGTGCTGTGTGGGGCGCGAGCGGTCACACTCAGGCTCTCAGCAGTCCCCAACGCTCGTACTTTGCTCCGTTTGCCCAGGCGTGTTCGCCGTCCCCCAGCCCGTCCGCTGTCCGGGACTGTTGGCCGTATGGTCAGCTGACTGAGCCCCCCCCCCCGCCCCGCCCCTGCTCCAGCTCTCTGCACGTGCCGTCCGACCGCAAGGTCCTGGTGCAGATGCGCAGCGTCGGCGTGCTCGTCAACCTGTTCGAGGACGAAGACGCCGTCTTCCTGGATTTCAACAAGCAGATCCCGGTCAACGATCGCCAGTGGCACCACGTGGTGCTCTCGTGGGAGACGTCTGGCAACGTCCAGCTGGTCACCGATCTGGTGGTGATCGGCAAGCGCACCGGCTACGGCGTCAACAAGACCCTGCCCGAGTTGTGAGTATGGCGGCCGCCCGCCGCTGCGCCGGACGAGATGGGCTCTCAGTTGGTCAGTCGCTGGGCGAGGGAGCAACTCTCTCAGGCTGGTGTGCTCTGCTGCTGTCTTTGATCTCCAGTTAGCAGTGTGCCCCACGGCTTTGTGCGATCCTAATCCTCGCACTGTGTTCACCCTGTGATCGTCGGTGGTGGATTGCTTCGCTACAACCTGTGACACTGTTAAGTGTCTCGTTTCCGGCGTCTGTCTCTCTGGATGTCCCTGGCCTTCAGTGATATGAGTCATTACATGAATGGCTGCTTTGCGTACATCCAACCTTCAACTCGCGCGTTTGTGCGCAAGGATCTGCGATTATCTGATGTGTCTGTTTCCCTGCGTACCACTTTTACCATGAGTCAGTTTCCCTGGTGTGTCCTGTCTGTGGTGTGAATATCTTGTCTGAGGTCTGTCTGTTTCCCGGTGTCTGATGTCTGAAGTGCCTCTGTTTCCCCGGTGTCTAATGTCTGGAGTGTGACTTCTTCCGCGCTGTCTGACGTCTGCACGCTGTCCGCAGCGGCTATGTGACACTGGGTGCTCCGCTGGCTGAAGACGGCACCCAGGTGGCCAAAGCCGGCTTCAAGGGCAAGCTGGCCCGCGTCAACATGTGGTCCCGCAGGCTGGACATCCGCACCGAGATCCCCAAGCAGGTCAGCTAGCTGGCGGTGCTGCGGTCCGTCGGATAGGCCGCCGGGGAGGGGAGTGCGAGCGTGGACTGGTGACGATGCCCGAGGCATAGGGAGGGGAGGGGTACGTGTGGGGAGGGGGGGGGTGGCCTGCCACTGGCCGCGGCGGATCGGTGAGTAACGCCCAGTCGGGTAAACCCGGATGGTGTGTCCAGCGCGACTGGATGGTGCAATCGTCTGCAATGCAGAGTCCCCTGTATTAACAGGCTGTTGCAGGAATCATGGGCTTGTGATGTGCAGCCATATGAGTTGAACTGCCGGAGGCTTGTGCTGTTCTTCCGGGAGTGATATACCAGAATATTCGCGCTGTTTTGCGTTCATGACTGGCTTGTGTTTCCACAGTAAAGACCTTATGAATCCGTTGGCTATGTAAAATGCACGGCCAACTTATGTTCACATCAGTCAAAAAGAAAATCACCTGGCCGTGGAAGTGATCGTATATTTTTTTAAGCCACATGCATTTTAATTATTAAGTGCTCACATACCAAACTACGCGCTTCAGCGCGTGTGAAAAACGTCTGCGTTTATTGTTTATTCTGAACAGACCTTGACCTACGATTCGTCAAATGTCAAAACACGCCGTGGAAACCCGCATGTCGTTATGCAAGCGATTTTCCGACAAATTTTAGTCTGGGCTCGAAGCTCATCGACTCGTAAACGTATTGCACGGTGGAATTATTTATGCTGGTCTCTTCGGCACTCTTATTCAAATCACTTGGATGCACTGCAAGGCCCCTAATCATTATCCATTGCAAGTCCATTGACTTGGAGATGTAATGCACAGTCGATTTATTTATACTAATATCTTCGCTACTCTTATGATAATTACATTGGAGACGCTTCAAGGTTTCTAAACAAGACTGATGTGTCACGCGACACACCCATTGGCTCGGTCCTTGCTGATGCATGTTCGAGACTCCACCCCACTCCACTCGACCTTCAGCCAGTCGTGTCAGGCAGCACTCCGGCCCCTCCCGGTGGTCATAGAGTAGATCCGTGTTGTTGCCGTGTTCATATATATTGCTGTTGTGCCGGATGTATGTATCTTGTATTGTGCCGGACCCCTGTCACCAGCCGCCGCAGCCTCAGGCCACCGCCCCGCCGCCAGACCCATACTCCGGTGTGACAGCACACCTGGCGATGTGGCCGCCCTCAGCCCCAGCTCGCCTCGCCGCCAGACCCATATTCCGGTGTGACAGCACACCTGGCGATGTGGCCGCCCTCAGCCCCAGCTCGCCTCGCCGCCAGACCCATATTCCGGTGTGACAGCACACCTGGCGATGTGGCCGCCCTCAGCCCCAGCTCGCCTCGCCGCCAGACCCATATTCCGGTGTGACAGCACACCTGGCGATGTGGCCGCCCTCAGCCCCAGCTCGCCCCGCCGCCAGACCCATACTCCGGTGTGACAGCACACCTGGCGATGTGGCCGCCCTCAGCCCCAGCTCGCCTCGCCGCCAGACCCATACTCCGGTGTGACAGCACACCTGGCGATGTGGCCGCCCTCAGCCCCAGCTCGCCTCGCCGCCAGACCCATACTCCGGTGTGACAGCACACCTGGCGATGTGGCCGCCCTCAGCCCCAGCTCGCCTCGCCGCCAGACCCATACTCCGGTGTGACAGCACACCTGGCGATGTGGCCGCCCTCAGCCCCAGCTCGCCCCGCCGCCAGACCCATATTCCGGTGTGACAGCACACCTGGCGATGTGGCCGCCCTCAGCCCCAGCTCGCCTCGCCGCCAGACCCATACTCCGGTGTGACAGCACACCTGGCGATGTGGCCGCCCTCAGCCCCAGCTCGCCTCGCCGCCAGACCCATACTCCGGTGTGACAGCACACCTGGCGATGTGGCCGCCCTCAGCCCCAGCTCGCCTCGCCGCCAGACCCATACTCCGGTGTGACAGCACACCTGGCGATGTGGCCGCCCTCAGCCCCAGCTCGCGTCCGCAGAGCCACGAGCCGAAGAGCCAGCGAGCTGTCCGTCCTCCGCACGGAGCCACGCGCTCGTCCCCTGCCCGGGCCGTGTCGTAACCGTCGCCGCGGCCGCCGCCCGCAGGTGGAGTCTTGTCGTAAGGCGCCCGTGCTGTACGACGGCCTGCTGCTGCGCTGGAGCGGCTACAACCAGCTTCTGGGCACGGTGGAGCGCGAGGGGCCGTCCACGTGCGGCGAGCTGGTATGCGCGCCGGGCTACACCGGCGACTGCACCAGCCGCGCCCGCGACAAGGTACGGAGCCCACGTGACCCGCCGCCGAGCACGTGTGGCAGGTCACGTGAGCAGACCGCGAGGAGGCCGCCTGCGCGGGCTGCGGCGGGCTGACGACGGATGATGGTTCACTGGTACAGACGGCGAACAGGTCGCCTCTGGATACGGAGGCCCGGTGGCCCGTGCTGACCGGGACCACATCACCTGCACGAACCGGGGACCGTCTGCTGGGCCTGGTGGCCCATCTCTCCGGGTCATCTCACCTCGCGCTCTTGTGGACTTAAGCTTGTACTTGTGGACTAAGCCTGGAGGAAGGTGCCACGAGCGCGAATCTGAGTGGGGCCCATTAGCCTGTGCATCTCATGTTTACCACGCTCCGCGCATGCTGTGCTGTACCCGATGACCCCAGCTGACGTGAGCTGACGCTGACCTGACCTTACCCTTGCTTACTGACCGTCACCGATCTGACGACGTCCTGGCGCCTGACCCGACCTGACCCGACCTTGACACCGCCCGCCAGACGCCGCCGCGGGTGGACTTCTGCCCGGGCGACCTCTGGGTACAGGCCGGCAACGGCTCAACGGCCGTCCGCTGGGACAAGCCGCGGTTCAGCGACGACGACAAGCTCATGTCCGTCAAGGAAATCAGAGGTGAGTGCGACAGAAGGGCTCAGGCGGCAGGGGGTGGCGGGACAGCGGGTGCGAGGAGGGGGAAAGGGAGATGCGTCGACTGGTGATGTCTACGATTGTCTGACCTGCCGTCTGTCGTGTCTGACTAGTCTGACCTGTCCTCTTATGTGCGTTACCTCTGACCTGACGTCGGGCCAATCCGGTCTGGTGTCTGACCTATCTTTGGACCCGTCTCACCAGTCTGACCCCTCTCATCAATCTGACTGGTCTTATCTGTCTGGTCTGTTGTCTGGCCTGTCCTCTGACCTGTCCCACCAGTCTGACCTCTCGCACCGCTCTGACCCGTCTGACCTGTCGCCTGTCTGGCCCGCAGACTATGCACCTGGTCAGCTGTTCCCGTGGGGTTCGCACGACATTGTTTACATCGCCAGGGATGACGCCGAGAACAGCGCGCTCTGCAGCTTCCGCATCCACGTACTCAGTAAGTGCCCGCCGTAATTCTGCTTTTGACCCGACCTACGCGTTGACTCTGAGTCACTGGTGGAAGACGGTAAACCCAATATCGTAGTAGCAGATTGCTGACTCCGAGCCATTCGTGACCAGTGACTAACTCTGAATGAGTGGCGGAAGGCCGCCGACTTTAAATCGCCGGCGGTTTGCCATCCCTGAGTCACTGGCGCCTGGCTGTTGGCATTGAGTCACTGTTACACTGTGCACGGATCAAGACGGCGGGGCCAGAACTCACGGCGTTTGAAGATACTGGCCGGGCTCTGTCTTCAAAGAGAGCGAGGGAGATTCTGAGCAAAGCGAGCAACGGTCTCAATCAGACATGCGGCCTGGACGGCCAGTCACCAGCAGAGCGAGCAGCGGCCTGATCAGACATGCGGCCTAGCCGGCCAGTCACCAGCAGAGCGAGCAGCAGTCTGATCAGACACGCGGCCTGGCCGGCCAGAGTCGCCAGCAGAGCGAGCAGCAGTCTGATCAGACATGCGGCCTGGCCGGCCAGAGTCACCAGCAGAGCGAGCAGCAGTCTGATCAGACATGCGGCCTGGCCGGCCAGTCACCAGCAAAGCGAGCAGCGGTCTGATCAGGCATGCGGCCTGGCCGGCCAAAGTCACCAGGGTAGCTGTGTCGCGCGGTCGCAGTAAGGTTGACAATCGTCTCCTCTGCGACGCATTACCGACAGACACGTTTTCGAGATGTTTGCTGCATAGCAAATGAGCCTCACAACAGTACGATCCGCTGTCGCAGTGTCGGAGAGTACTCAGCAGAGCAGAGGCAGGTGGAAAAACCTGCCCTCGCTGGCAGCACTGGCAACGCCATAAATTACCCGAGGGACAGCGAGCTTTCATCGCGAGAGATGCAAATGGAAAACACCTTTGAGCGGCGGCTTCCCCGGGCGAGGACCACCAGCAGAGGGCGCGCGTGACGGCTGGGCATGACTGGGCAGCGCCGGGTCGTGCGCGACACCAGCCGTCATTCCGTCAACTGTGACCTTCCGCCGAGGGCCATGCACACTTGCTCCTTTTTCGGGGGGCGTGCAACTTGCGTTAACTGTTTTTTTGGTTTCAAAGCCGCTAAAACTGTCTAAATGGTAAAAGCTGTTATTTTTTAATTGCGCCAGTGACAGCCTGTACACAACAGCTTTTCTGACCACTTGCGAGCATTAACCGTTCCGTTGAATGCGCTACCGTGGAAGCCGCCAACTTCAAGTGTGTAAAGAAGGTACTCATCAGATACGGCCTCTCCCGTCGCGGCCTGTCCTACGTCAGTGTCATTCCCCCTCCGTTGTCCTCATCGCCTTCTCTTTCGTGGCATTATCTGCCAGTGCGTCATCAGGCTCGCGCTTCGTAGTCCGATTCAGGGCTCCGGCCAGATTTAGCCGCACAGTCAGCTGGCGCCGGCAGGAGGGAGGTGGGGAGGGGGAGGCTGGGTTTAGTGTGCCCTGCCTCGAGCGGGCCTGGCACGCGGCCAGCCACGGGAGTGCCTGTAGCTATGTGCCACGGCCACGTGCCGTGGCGCATTGCACTGCGATACCATGTATCCCTCTGTGTGGGTGGAAGGCTGCACCGCATCCGTCCACACCGTTTACACGTATTGAATGAACCTCACGATTTTCAAAGTCAGCTGTCCCGACAGACCACTCCTATGCCATCTGGACCGGCAGCCGTCAGCTGTCGTCCGCCAGCTGGCGGGCCGATGGGTGTGAGGCGGGACTTCCCGGCCAAGTACCGCGCTGTCCCGACGGCTAACTCTCACGGCCGCCGCCAGGGGCGCTTCGGTCCCGGCGGGGGGGCCGAGTGCACTGCGCGGTCTGATATAGGGTCCCCGCCTCTCGACGCATTTCCAGGCGGAAGACGGGGGAGGCAGACGGCTGACGCAGTCGTGACAAGCGACTATGGCAGGCTGACTGAGGAGGAGTCCCCGATGCCCACTCCTGATCGCGCGCCGGTTCACGTGATATATCGCACCCCCTCGGCTTGCCTGGGTGCGCCTCTGCCAGAACGGCAGCGTCGGTGCCGCAAACCCGCAGTTGGCCCGTCCGTCCTGGTCGTAAGCGGACTGAGTCACCCTGCCCTGCGAATGTTTGTGGCGCGCGGGTGAGATCAGTCCCGCGTTCTCACCCATCGACCGGCGTTGCGGGCGCGTTCGGTGCGCTGTGTCAGCGCGGGCTGCAGAGTGGCTGCTCCCGGTCCTGCGCCGCCAGACACGCCATGTCTCGGGAGCCGCGGCACCTGACGGCTGATGCCGCCCTCGTGCCGCGACTGCCGTCCAGCTACCAGAGCAACAAGTACCAGGCGGCCCGCGAGGAGTCCTGGCCGGCCTCCGATGACAACCCGCCGCCGCCGCCGCCGGATTGGGATGAGCAGGACATCGCTCGGGCGTCTGTGTTCGCCTTCGTGTTCGGCTACCTGTGGATCTTGCTTCGCGGTCCGGCGCTGGCCGAGCGCCTGCGCCCGCTCGCTGGCGACGGCCGCCGGATCGTGCCCCGGCTCGTGCTGCTCTGCCCGCTGGACGGCCGGCTGCCGGACTCGGCGGCCGCTCTGGATCGCCGGCTGCGACCGGCCGGCGCCGCGCACCCCTTCCAGGCGTCGGTGGCCGGCGCACGCGCGCGCTCCTATGGCGCGCACCCTGCGTTCGAGCTGCAGGTGGACGGCGAGGCCGTGTTGCTGCCCGTCGAGTCGGTGGCGTCGGTGCGCACGCTGTGCGTGGTGGCGGAGGAGATGGCGCGCAGCGAGCGGCCCATGCCCCGGCTGGACGCCCGCCGCCTGGTGGAGCGGTTCTCCATCGAGCTGCTGGTGGCCATCGCGCGCCAGCCGGCGCTGCGGGACCTCGTGCAGCTGGTGGTGTACGACCCGGCCGTGTCGGGCGGCGTCAGCGCGTACCAGCAGCTGCTGGCCGTGGCTCGGGAGCAGCGGGGCGCTGACGGGCCGCCACCAGCCGTGCGGCCCTCCACTACCGGCCCGCTGCTGCCGACCGGCCAACCGCCGCTACACGGCGTCGGCGTGTTCCTCGCGTGGAGCTTCTTCCACGGCTACCTGCTGCTGGCGGCGGAGCGGCGGCACGTGGCCGCCGACCTTGCTGCTCTCGAGCGGGCCTCCACGCTCCGGCTGCCGGTCAAGCGCGTTGTGGTCGTCTGCGTGCTTGAGCTGAGAGACGATGCTCAGCACCGGCTCAGAGTCGGCGACGCGGCAATGGCGGCGGCCGACGACCTGACGTTGCTGGAGCCTCAGCTGGAGCCGGTGCGGGACGTGGAGGGCGTGGACGTGGCGGTGTCGGCGCTAGCCGGCAGGACGTTCGGCAGCTTCTCCGTGTACCACTGCCGGCGCGGCGGCGCCAGCTTCGCGCTGGAGGTGGCCACGCCGCTGCGAACGCTCGGCCTCGGCGTCATCAGCGAGGGGCTGCCGGCGGCGGTGTATCGAGTCGAGGCTGCCCGCTTCGCCGTCGAGCTGGCCAGGCTGCTGGCCGAGCGGCCGGCGGCCGGCGCGCAGTACGCAGTCGTCACGGCCGAGCGCGAGGCGCCGCTGCACGAGAAGCTGACGGCCTTGACGGCCACCAGCGTCTGATGGCGAGGATATCGCCTGGCTTGTCATTGATGGCATGAGAGATGGTGGGCATCGAGGGAAGATGCGTTATTGGCGCTATCCTGATTGCTGTGTCAATCTCCAACGTTCGGGCGATGATCTGGGGCCACTCGTCATGGTTCAGCCGATGTTTTGCTCTTATAAGCTCTACGTGCCTTCAGTCATGCTGTTTTGATATTGACCACATCGGCGTGTTTTGGACCAGGCCGCGCTGCGGCCTGGTCAGTATCGGCCCGCGCTGCAGTCTGGTCAATCAGTATTAACTGCTGGAGCTGCTCTGGCGTCACAGCTGAATCAGTGCTGACTGCAGGAGCTGCTCTGGCGTCGCAGCTGAATCAGTATTGACTGCAAGAGCTGCTCTGGAGTCGCAGTGTAATCAGTGCTAACTGCAGGAGCTGCAACAACGAGATATGGCACTCCCAAACCACCAAGCCGGAAAAAAGGAGACGTTGCTGTAGCTGGCGGCCATGGGCGTCAGCCGATGGTTGTGCGTGCTCTGGATATACGCGGAGCGAAACAAGTTGGAAAGGAGACGGACATCACGACAACAGCATGCTTGAGCCTCCGCCGCCGACCCGCGATCCAAGTTACCGCTGGGATGGGACGCGCACGCGCTACTATGGATGCTATTGGCACCCGGCTTTCCAGCAGTTGGTTGGCATTGTCGGAGGTCCGATGTGAGAGGTCTGAGGTGGTCGCTGCACACCCGGATCTATGGTTGTTTCGATGGTGGTGTAGAAAGCAAACGCTGAAGCATTAAGTGCTGGTCGATGGGTGATGCTGGCCTCGTCAGCGGGTCTCCATGGTCAGTGTCAGTGTCAGTGTCAGCGCTGCTGGCGCTGATCAGCGCTGAGCTTAGCTGCGGGGATCTGGGTGATGCTGGCCTCGTCAGCGGGCCTCCGGTGTGTGTCAGCGCTGCTGGCGCTGATCAGTGCTGAGCTTAGCTGCGGGGATCTGGGTGATGCTGGCCTTGTCAGCGGGCCTCCGGTGTGTGTCAGCGCTGCCGGCGCTGATCAGTGCTGAGCTTAGCTGCGGGGATCTGGGTGTATCGGTCATCCCGTCATCCGGCATCTGGCTGTATCACCCGTCCCGTCATCTGGTATCTGGGTGCATCGGTCATCCCGTCGCCCGGTATCTGGGTGCATCATCCTGCCATCGGTAACCGCGATCGGTGTGAAATTGTGTTCATCGATACCATACCCTGTCTGAGGCTGTGCATCTTAATTGATGCTATATGGTACACTGTTGACTTTGGTTTCAAATAGCGCTCGGGTGGAGGTCGATTTGCCCCGCCCCCTCCCCCTCCCCCGCCTCCCCTACCCCCGCACCCCTACCACGCCCCCTCCTCTCCCGAACGTTCTTCCAAAATAATCTCGGAACGGCGCGGCGTAGCCGCGGCGAACGTTGTATAGCTGTAAACAACTCATGGGCGGATCTCTTGGGATACAAAATTGAATGCACCTTGTAAAGTCGCTGACATACGGCAGATAAAGCCAGGCCGTGGCTGTCAGCGACAAGTCCCAGGATGTATTTAGATCTAACGCGACAATAGAGGGGTAAGCGAAACCTTACATCTCAGAGATGGTTTCTTGGGCAATAAGACAACCGAACTTAGAACAGCGACAAATTCCTCTGAACTTGGGCCGGAGGTGTGAACGCCACCCAGGTAAAAAGCAAGGTTTTTTGCTGAATAACTTTATAGAGTAGTTTTTGATGCTCATTTCCAATTTATTGACAACAGGGACGGCGGCAAGAGCCTTCCTTGGACTTCTTAAAGGTCAGAGGAGATCACTGACCTAAAATAATCCATATTAACTTTCCGTTTTTGTGAACATACCACCTAGCGTAATCCATAATGATTGTTCAAATTCAAAATCAAGGCAATCTCGTAGGTTTCTGGTCTCCATAACCTTCTCAAGGTCAAACAAGGTTTCATTCTTCAACGGAACATCAATGACCTTTTGCTTAGAACGGGTGTCTAGGTTCATAGCAGTGACACGTGGAAGTATGGGGCGACTTGGACACCAAGCTAAATTTGGTCTTGTTTAACTTAATCTTATCTGAAATTCCTTACCTAGGCACCTCAAAATTTGACTACGTGAGCTTACATACAAGCCTATTCCCTCTGTGATTAGATGTTTCTAGCTCTCTTTATTTGTGAGGTGTCATGGAGAGGTCAAATTAGCCCCCACCCGAGCGTGTTGTATTTGGCCTGCCAACGGGCCGCATGTTAAAATGGAATAAATGACGTGTAGAAAAACAACGCATATTTTGGTGGGCGTGCCCTCTTCAGTTGAGCATGCTCAAAGCTCAATTTGAAGTCACCTGAGGAAGGTATGCCTACCAAAATGTGGGCACCACAGAAGTGGCCTGTTAGTAGTTGAACCGCATGTCTGGGTATGGGGCTCGATTCCGCGCGGTGTCCGCCCCTCCTACCGAGGTGACAGACGAGCAACGGCATGTGGCTTCGGCAGCGCAGCGTATCGCGAAGTCCTAATGGCAAGAAATGTAGTGACCTTCGCGACGCATAGTTTGTTTGATTTTGAAACCGAAGTCAAGAGTTCATCGCGTAATATGAAACTGCGTTAGTAGAAAAGCCGCGAACTCAGCCATGTGGGTTCCCGTGCCCTGATAACCTTCGTCAGTCTCTTGCACATATATTCGTATCACTGTGCCCGCTCCGATGTGCCTGCCCACGCGACTCGGTGCGCATGGCGTCACTAGTGATGAAACTAGCGCCTGGTACTGCTTAGTGATGGAACTAGCGCCTGGTACTGCTTTGCATTGCTTCGCATGGCGCGTGTCTGTTGACGTACCTAAAGACATGCTGTTTTGTGTAGTTGATATAGCGCTCTGTGGGGATAGGCCTTCCGTGGGAAGGTGACAGTTACGGGATGTTTACGGAGCTTACTTGGTTGTCGCAGCAGCGGGTACGGTGACTGGTGGTCTGAAGTTAACTGCACCGTTCCCCTCGTCAATATGCCCTCTAAACACGGCTGGAGCTTCACGGAGTGGTCTGGGAACGAGGGGGACAGAGGCGCAGCGCGATGCACTTCTCCTCGGAGCGTATATATTTCTGTCATTTGATGTGTTTTAACTCTGTTTGACTACACTTCCACGGACCGAGACAAAGATGGGTGGTACACGGTTCTCCCGAATTTCCGCCACTACTCCAAAGAATCTCCTCGTCTCGTTGGAAATGTCTCGGAAATGATGGAAAAAATGTCTTGGAAATGAAAAAAACATTGGAAAGCATCGGCGCATCACGCGCCTAAAGCGTCAAAAGCCTGTAAAGTAACACCCCAAGGCTCCAACATGTCACGAGCATATGAAGATGCTAATGATATGTATCGGATACGTATCGCAGCAGCGGCACGTCGCTGTGGGTTGCACGACAATGCACAGGCCATGCAGCCCAAAACTGCTGGAGGTGGTCACAGTGATGGAGAGTCACTTAGGTTGCATTCGGGAGCAGCTCATCCCCTGCTTGGAATATAAGGAACTGCACAAAATAGTGACCATGTCAAACAGATCGACGCAGGTTTCCGCGTGCTTGGGTGCGTTACGCCTGGGTTTTGGTAAAAGAATATGCCCACGCATCGGTCCGGAATTTTCTGCTTTGCATTTGAGAGCATGTCTCGAATTTGTCTAGAGAAGGTCCGGAGTCCGTCTCGAGCACGTCTTGAATACGCCCAGATATGCCGTCTCGAGCAGGCCTCGACTGCTCGCTCGCAGGTCTCGACGGCTCGCTCACAGGTCTCGACTGCTCGTTCGCAGCCCACCTAGACCAACTGGCCAACACCTCTTTAAACCAAACACTGGATTCTTCTGAGCATTTTTGAAAGCGAACAAAACCCTCATGGAAGCATTTTAGATTACGTCGGACCGTTTTCTATCATCGGAGCAGCAATCTTATGAGTACTGTGTGTTAGCTCCAGTCGCTCTGCTGGAGCGCGAGGAGCCAACGCGAGATGTCCGTGTTACAGAGGAGATCTGCCCCACCCCGGAGGACCCCAACGGCGGCTACCAGGAGTGCTCCACCTGGGGACCCAACGGACGCTTCCGCTACTGCAAGATCCGCTGTGACCCGTAAGTGTACCGTCGCGCTCCACCCTGGCCGATGAGACGCTTCGGTGCGCCTCGCTGTGGCTGAGGAGGTGTTCCGTCGACGGAGCTAACTGTTGTGCGGATCGAGGACTTTTGAGTGAGAGCTGACTTATGCAGCAGGGTAAGAGTCTGCTCTCACGTATGTCATCACAACCTTCATGCGTTTAGAACATTCAGCTGCTTTTGAAACTAGGTAGGTAGCCTCTATTTTCCATTGCATTCAGGCACTCGCCGGATGTTTTAACACGTTCCTACTGAGCTTATATGCTTCTCAGAACTCAACGGAGTGTATGACGTGGCCCGCATAGCTTTTCGGCGTTGTTCCTGAACCGTAGCGGACCTGCCGCTAAACTTACCTGCATTTTGGTGCAGCTGTAGTAGTTTCTCATGCAATGTTTGGGCTGTTCCGTAGCCGACACATGTTTTACATTAACGTTCAGCAGATGTTTGGCCTGTGCTGCCACCAGTGACGTAGATGGCGCGCATGTTCGCATCAGCTGCCACTCGTTACCTGTAGCGCTATCTAGCGAATCTATCTGCGACTATGATTCTAGATCGCTCGCTAGATGTCAGTCTACTTAACGCTGCATCCCTCTGGCCGACAGGGGACTGCAGTTTAGTCAGCCCATCCCTGACTTCTACGTGTGCGGCCCGGAGGGCTTCTGGCGCCCCAATGACCAGCCCAACACGGCTCTCATCTACCCGAGCTGCGCCCGTGAGTGGGGCGGGGTGCGGCCCGCGCGGCGAACGTTATCAATGACACATCCTTCGGTCCAAACTTGCCATGCTCTACGAGCCCGCATGTTTCAGACTTGTATCATGTGTCTATGCAGCGTTTTGGGAGCCCAGCCACTGCGTAGCAAGACAGGTCGTGATTGACGTTCGGGAAGTCTTACGCCTACGGCAACGTTTTCCTTTAACCCATTCATATTTTCATGTAAGTCTTTGTGGTGGCCGCGACACGTATCGCTCCAGCTCCTTGGCTTGCACGGCTTCTGCTGAACACATTGGCGGGCGATATTGACGCGTGCCGTCGGCTGGCCCGTGGAGGCCGGCTGAACCCTGACGGACCTCTCCCAGCCTCCCCCCCCCCTCCGCCCCCACCGCCCGCTCCATACCGAGGACCCCCCACCTGACAGCGCCGCCCGCCTCTCTCCAGCGGCGCGCCCGCCTAACCATGCCTGTTCCGCTTCTCAGCCGCCGAACAGGCGCAGCGGGTGGTCAAAATAAAAATGAACTTCCCCTCGTCCGTCTTCTGTAACAACGCCGGCAAGAACGTGCTGGACAAGCGCATCCGCGAGGCGCTTCAGAAGCTCAACAAGAACTGGAACTTCTGCATCAACACAGTCGAAGGTAGGTCCGCTGGCTGTGTGGTCACAGGCGTTTTGATGGGGCTGACCGGTTGGTCAGCGTTCGCCGACCTCGGGACCGCGCACTGTGGCCGTGCTGGAGGCGCGGCTCGACGGTGACAGAGGAGGACGGCGGGTGTAGGTCGCCAGCCCAGCACACCCCCCAGTGATGGGGCAGGGGATGCCGGAGGTCAGCGGTGCTGTTAGTGCGCTGGTGGAGCACGGCAAGTGCTACACGGGTTGTGTAGTGTGAGACTGGGTGAGAGAGCCTGTGTCATATCAGGGCTATGTGATCGGCAAAGGGCTATTCCTGGAGCGGATTGTAAAAGGTCGGCATCAGCAAAGACTGATGATTCCGGAGCTCATTTAAGCAGCCTTTGTTACTAACACCCAGGGCTGTAGCTTTAAGCTGGAGAAATGTTGGGTTGTCTTCAACTATAATTATAAGAGTAACTTGGAATGCGTATTTTGTTCTGGATGTTTGCAATATTGAAAGCCTTGGAGCCAGCGGACTTCCTTATTTAAGCCACTCCCTTAAATGTACCTCACCTGTTGGCTGTAAACCTCGAGCTCTCCCCTCTAAAAAGATGGCCTACCTGTTTGAGCAAATTCGCCAATATCTTTAAGGCAGCGGTCGCATATACAGCGCCAACCAGCTCCCCTGACACCATGATCTGTGAAGTACCGTCCCCGACGCCATGCTCTGTGAAGTACCGCCTCCGACGCCATGCTCTGTGAAGCACCGTCCCCGACGCCATGCTCTGTGAAGTACCGTCTCCGCGTGCATCATTAAAGCACCCGTCGTACAACCATGACGTCATTACACGCGTAGTCGCTGAGCGGCGCCCGGCTTACACCGCCGCATCAGACATCAGCGGACTCAGTCTGCCCGCGCTGACCCACCTCCCGGATGTAGATGGTCTGGCAGTAGATGGTCTGGCAGTGCGTCACCGCCAGCACCTGCGGTCGGCCCAGCGGGGAGGAGCAGAGCGGGGTGCGGGGCCCTCAGGACGCGCGCCGCTCCTGCGGTTGGCCCAGCGGGGCGGAGCAGAGCGGGGTGCGGGGCTCTCAGGACGCGCGCCGCTCCTGCGGCCGGCCCAGCGGGGCGGAACAGAGCGGGGTGCGGGGCCCTCAGGGGGCGCGCCGCCGCCGCCGTTGCCACGGCCGTGGCGGCAGATCAGGGCTGTGCGGCGGCAGCGGCCTGGCAGTGTTCCTCACTTGGTGTCTGCTTCGCCTGGCGGTCGGTGAGGAATCGATATTTTTTGCACTCGATTTGTAATCTTTTGGTGAAAGGGCTCTTAAGGGCTGAGTTCCGAAGAAAAGTTTTTAGAAAAGCACTGTGTGCACAAGCAGGCTATAAGCAGCGCACTGAACTCCTCGGCACTGTCCTATTGCCTTAGACACATCATTGCAAACTTAATGAACGTCTCGTCTGCTGCCAGCCCAACATGGCATAAACTACTATTGTCACGATGTTTAGCTTAGCGCAATTTGCAAAGGCCACGATCACACCGTTCAGAAACTTTACGATGATCACAACTCGGCCAAAGTTGGGCGAATCCCGCCGCCGCTGTTGACTTTGGCTGGTGCATGGCTAAGATTGCCTTCCAAGTCATGCGATTTTGACCACATTCCTGCAAAATCTCCCAACATTTATAAACATCTGGTCCAGGGGGACGGGCACAGCCTCTTGGCCTTCCCTTGGGTACGTCTCTGGACTACGATGCCTCGTTAACCGCAGACGAAGCGATCCCGCCGAACTCTCATCGGGCAGTGCCGAGTCTTGGTCGTCAGCGAGAGGCCGCACGGGGCGCCGACCCACCACCCTCTCCCGCGATGCCCCGCGCCACCCTCTCGGCGCGTGGGGAGAGGCGGGCCCGTTCGCGGCCGGCCTCCCGCACGACGCCGCGCGCGAAGCGGCCCGCCGCCGCGGCCAGGTACGCCAGGTAGAAAGCCGGCCAGTCTGCCCGGCGCGCTCGGCCAGCGAGCAGTGAACGCGTGCCGCGAGCAACTCATAGCACCGCACCGCACCGGCACGATGGGGAGACGGACGCTGCTACGAGGCGCGCTGGCCGGCTTGCTGGTCCTGCTAAGCGCCAGCAGGGCGGCGGCGGCGCCGCAGCCTGCAGGTGGGTGCGGGGAGCCGTCCTGGGTCGAGCGATGTCAGTGACCGACGCCGGGCATAACTGCGCGCGCTGCCGCGGGCGGGACGCGCCGTCAAGATGGCCGCTGGCCGCGGGGCTCGGCTCTGGCGGACACCTCACGCGTCTCTGCCAGTGCTGCTGGCTCAGCCAGCGGCGTAATAACACGTTAAAAAAAATCCGCGGCTCACTCGGCTTCGATCGTTTTCCGTGGCCCAAGCGGTGACGGGTCAATCTTCGGACCGTCTCCATCACGACATGTTAGAGGTGTCCCCCACCCCCCGCGGCAGCCCCATCTGTGGTGGCACCCGCTGGCTCATCTCCGCACACGGTGCGAACGGAGCTGCAGGTCGGGTCGGCGGCGTAGCTTCTCAGACGCGCGGGGTGCCGCCATGCGCGTGTTTCCTCCTGGGAACAGTTGATGCCGACTGCGGCCCACCAAGCATGGGACTGATTCCGACTCCGACTCCAAGCAGCTCGGCATAACCCTGAGTCTGCTTTGATTCCAGTGCAAGGTCGTGTGGGTCGATGCCGGAGTCGGTGCCGATAGGGCAGATTCCGTCGGTAGCAGTAAAAGGGATAGCCGGGTCTATAGCCTCCACAAAAGCCTGAATGGGTCATTTATCTTGATGCAAGTACAGTTACTTAGGTTTGTGTTCTACATGGTGCACATGGAAACCGTCACACTAAAGGAATATTCGGTTGGTTACGTTGCTGTTTACGTCGTTACACTTCTACGAAGATCTGTTTCATTCCAACGCAACACAAATGTGGTTAATTCCAGAACAGATCACCATCCGGCACTGGGCACAAGCCTGCCATGGGGTATAGTGGCAGCGATTAACAGTGGTGGCAGTGTCAGGATTGGAGACGGTGGGATAGCACTGGAACTGGTGTAATTTTGAAGTTTACCGGAGGGGAAACAGGCGGGCTATGAACGTTGATGGTGGATGATAGATGACGCTCGTGGACCGCCACATTGATGAAGGGCAATGTATTTGAGTGGATGGTAACATCCAATCTAGAAGCAGCTCACTTTTTCGCTGGCGCACGCCAACCTGGCCGCTAGGTATAAACACATTCCATGAAAACATCACTCTGGGGTGTTCAGAAAACACGTACTTCGGGTCGCTCGCTCATCATAGCAGACATGTATTGGACATATTGCTGACAGAAGTCATTGAAAAATTACTTAGAATGTTTGCCAAACATCTGACCATGTGGGTTTACTTGTCACTCGCAACACCGTTCGGAGATCCCACCCGGAAACGTTAGAGTCTCGGGAGCACAAACAAACACTTACATGTAAATAAGAGTTGTCTGACGCTCTGATGAAGCGGAACCATAACACGCATGAAATTGCACCGTTTGGCATGACAGGCTAACTGTTGTTTGGCTGCGTGACTCCGCGGAGCTGAGGAGCCGAGCACTGACGGGTAACAGCAGGCCGCAGTGCTGAGGCCGGAACCTTCCGATGTCGACTCTGTTCACGGACAAACGACAGCTCCTGACAAACGACAGCTCCTAACAAACCACAGCTCCTGACAAACGACAGCTCCTGACAAACGACAGTTACTGACAAACGACAGCTCCTGACAAACGACAGCTCCTGACAAACGGTCCTTTCAACAAATATGTTTTCAATAAGATGTAGGTTTTCCAGGTGCAGTCGGGGATGCTGGGCTTTTGCTGCTGTTGGTGGGCATGCTACTTTTCACGAATGGCCAAGAAGGACGGAATGCGAGCTGGATAGATGTTGTGTGTGTTATATCTAAGCAAACATGATACAGCGACATAATATAGCAATACGCTGCTATAAGTTGAAATGCGGTATATAACGCTCGTATGATTGCTTCACCGTCTTACCTCATCTCATGCTATGGCTAGATCAGTAATGTCGGCCTAATACTGAGCATTATAGCGATGATAATCATAACATTTCGATGAATCACGGGATCTGTTTGCATCACCGTTTTGCATGCGGAGCTCTTACTTCAGCCACCCCGCATACCGACCTGTTGACTGGCCAGTTTGTTGTTGCTCTGAGCTCAGATCCCCACCCGCGTAGCCGTTATTTCAGTGACGCTCCCACATTGCTACCAATCCCAGCCTGTCAAACACCTGCCTGACTTTATTCAGACGGCGGCCTTTTAATTCCAAAGTCTTGGTTTGTTTTCATGCAGGAAGTACACGCCACCAGAACCTCTCCTTAGCACCACGTGATTGATGACCTTACGGACTCAGTGGAGGGCATCGCATCTCATCCTCGTCACAAAGCCCTCTGTCCCCGGGTGGTGACCAATTACTTCACGCTGGGCGCGCTTCAGCTTTCAGGCGGTCCTTTCACTGCACACAGCGCGAGCCGTAAATGGCCCCGTCCCATCCGCATTACGGCCAAATTAAAAACAGCCGTGTTTGCCGCATCATTAGCGTTGGCGGCGTCAGCTGTTCCGCCGCAGGATGCGTTAGCCGAGCTCCTCCACAGCTGTTCCGGCTCGCTGGAGAAGCTGAGGTGCCGGCCAGAGCACCGTTGTCTCGGCTCATCTCCCAGGCGTTATGTAACCGCATCGCTCGTGACAAGGCACGTCTCGATACGAGTCCACCTCCCCCTCTCGGCTATCCCTGGTGGCGCCCCTGCTTCTCGTTCCGTTCTGACCTCCCCAGCAGCGGGCCTGAGCTGCACCCGCTCAGCTGGTATCCGTGGCATCGTGCCTGCGTTCCTCGCAGTCCGGCTGGACGGCCGACGGCTCCAGCCGGCTGGCACCCGGCCAAGGCCTGCTGACCCCATCTGCAGGCGCTCCAAAAACCCGGCTCGGGCCGCGCCGCGGCCGCGCCGGCCGCCACTGCCGCCGCTAATGGGGGT